CTCAATGGAGAACTGCCTAATTGAAGAGAATTAAGGCTGGTTTACATCAAGAATGATATTATAATACCAAGATTATAATCATTATAGTAAAAGTTATTAAAATATTATTTAAAATTATGACTTAAAATATAGACTTAATACAAATTTCACAGTTTAAAGTCTCAATAATAATAATGATAATAATATTAATAATAATAAAGTCTTAAATGTGAGAAACAATTTTACATACCAAGGGGAGGGGCAAAAATTATTAGAGAAAATTGTGAAATTGTGTAAAAGTAGCAAATGTTAGATCACATAGTTAAATATTAAATTATTTATAAATTAGAAAAAAATAGGAAAGATATAAATTCATTATTTAAAGTTTCTGAATAAAATAAATAAATACATAAAATTAGATTTTATTTAAATAAAATGTAAACTACATTTTTATTTTAAATTAAATAAAAATTAAATTAAATAAAAATAAACATAAACATAAAATAAAAAATAAATAATTAAAATTAAAATAAATGAAAATAAAATATTTCCTGATTAAAATAAATTAAAATTTATAAAATAAATAAAAATAAAAATAAAATTATTTATTTAATTAAAATGAATTAAAATTAAATTTTATAAAAAATTTTATTTAGAATTAAATTAACTTAAAAGGAAATTAAAATAAAATATTTTAATTAAATTAAATTAAATTAAATTAATATGAAGTCTTAAATGCAATAAACAGTCTCAAATCGCAAGGGGCAAAAATTCTAAATTGGAAAATGTGAGACTGTACTGTAATATATGAAGATTCAGTCAGATTGACTGTCAGTGATTAATCATTGTCAGTGAAAAACATTCTTAGATATTGGTATTGTTATACCTTCAGTATGAACTCCATTATTTCACATACCGAATGATTATTTAAACAATATCTCTATCATCCTTGCTGTGAATGGCTCTTTAAGCACAGCGTGTGTGTTCAGAAAAATGTAGAAACAAAACTGGTGCGTATAGTGGACTGTCTTCTTTATAGCAGCTCAGAGTCTAAATACTGCAGTACCACTAAAGCGAGGTTGCTATGCAACAAATGTTCATACAATCTGGAAAGATCTGTTGTATTCAGGCAGCATATGACTTCTTTGAGATAATATAGATTTTCCCAGCCTTATGCAATGGGAATGAGACTTTTTCAGTGCTTTCAATAGTTTATCGGCAGCAAAGTTATGGTCATGATATTCCCTTCTAGACAACCTAAATGTGCATTAAATTTACAAAGGTATCCCAGCATTCTCTTCAGCACCCAGAAATCTTTTTGTTGCTTCCCAATTAATTTAACACACTGCACTAAAAGAATGTGGAGTTAAAGTACATACATTTCAGTGTGCAACAGGAGAGTATAGGCGCTTTGGGACGAACTACTTTGTCATAACGAATCGCTCTGTTGCTTAGTAACATGCCCTGTCAATCATCTTGTCACATCCTCCACATTTCTTTTCTGATTAATATTCCACCATACTGGAGACGAAGTGACACATTAAAAGCCATTTGCGGCTCTTTCATGCAGAGAAATCTGCTCATGTGTTTGCATAATGATGCATTCAAACGTTAATGACCAAACGTGTCTTGATAAAAGTTCACAATGTTGTTGCAGATGAAACATGGATAACATGTAAATAAATCAGGATGGAAATTATTAATCATTTAAACCACTTTACCTAAGAATCTCCACTTAACCTTCTTTCTCCAGCATCTGCCATGCCAGAAAGCATTTATTGTGTGTGCTTAAAAAAAAAAAAACTTGACAAGAATGAATGACTACATGTGATGTCTGTCTAATTTGAGTATTTGATGATGAGTGCTTTACTGGCAGCCCAAATTTAACTTTGTTTTAGCCAAGACGTCTATTTTTAAACATCTATTAGACATATTTTAAACACAGAATTGCTTGGTGGGATGCTTGTAGATTTGATTTTACTCATGCATGTTGGATACAGTGCATTATGGGGTAATATTAGCCATTAATTAACCATGTACACAATGCCATCACCTACAGTCTATACCAGTGTTCACCCAACTTTCTCCTGGAGGGCCGGTGCCCTACAGATTTTAGCTCCAACTCTAATCGAACACACCTGAACAAGCTAATCAAGGTCTTACTAGGTATACTTAAAACAGGTGTGTTAAAGGCAGGTGTGTTGAGGCAAGTTGGAGCTAAACCCTGCAGGGACACCGGCCCTCCAGGACCAAGATTGGTGACCCCTGGTCTATACTATACTACACTACTCTATACCTGGGTGTTATTTTTTATTGTGATCTTAATTTTAAGTCTCATATTAATCAAGTTACAAAAACTTGTTTTTATCATTTGGGAAATATTGCCAGAATTGGTTCTTTCCTATCTTTCAATGATGCTAAGAAATTAATTCATGCTTTTATTTTCTCTCGGCATGATTATTGCAATGCTATTTGTTTTGGTTTACCAAAAAGTTCTATAAGGAAGTTGCAACTGATACAAAATGCAGCAGCCAGAGTTTTAATGAAACTGAAGAAACAAGAACATATTACACCAGCCTTAATAGATTTACACTGGTTAGCTGTGCACCTAAGGAAATATTTTGAGATTGTTTTATTAGTTTATAAGGCACTAAACAAACATGACTCCTCCTTACATTTCTGACTGCTTATCGAAATATAATCCAAACTGTTTTCTACGCTCTTCAAGCACTGGACTTCCACTCTGTAAATCTGATGCGATCTGGCGACATTTCTTTTAGTCACTTTGCTCCCAAAATTTGGAATTGTCTCCCAAATGAAGTGAAAGAATCCCCCAGCATTCATGTGTTTAAAAAGCATGTCAAGATGCACCTCTTTAAAATTGCGTATGAATACAACAGCTTGTGAAGTGTTTGCATTTTATGTATATTGTATAGGTGCATGTATGTATGCATGTACGGTGTGTGCATGCATATGTGAGGACTATTGTGTGTGTGATTGTGTAGATTAATGCATTTATGCGTGTACATGTATGCTTTTATCAGAGTACATATTTTGCTTATTTTGCTTTATTTGTCTATTCTTTTTTTAATTTGGTTTATTTTAATGCTTGTTGGTTGTTTGTGAAGTGCTTTGAGTTGCATATATGTAGGAAAAGTGCTATACAAATAAAATGTATTTATTATTATTATTATTATTATTATTATTATTATTATAATACAACTGCAGGTTAACTATGCCTATAATCACTTTAACTGTTGAATGCTATTAGTTACAAGTTAATAAGCAACTAATAAAATTATAATAAAGTTATATTTTAATTTAATTTAAATTTATAATTTAATATTGTTTTATAATTGCGATGTGACATTTGGCTTGTTACTGGGGTTTTTTGCAAGCTAGTAATTCTCTGCATTTTTAGAAAATTGTTGTTGTATATTTTGTAGTGCTTTGAGAAAAGTGCATCATAAATAAAATGTATTATTCTCATTATTATTGTAACTAATACCTTAATTTTCTGATTTTGTAAAGCTGCCTGTAAACGATAATTATTTTGAAAAGCACAGATCTGCACTTTGAATTTTAACTGGAAACAGTAGACCATTAGTGTACCTTTAAAATACTCAATTCATTACGCTGTACTACAAATTGAGACAGATTAAGACATATTTTCAATATTTAGGAGTGATAGTATTTAAATTGGGATACAGCATTTGTGTTGGCGACTTTAAAAGACATTTAGCATTTTTAAAGTGACAGTGCATCAGTGTAGTTTTCAGGGAACTAGCAAGATATAAACATGTAAAGATGAGAAATTGCACCTCTTGGTAGCGAGCGAGTCCTCCATTGACGGCAGCATCGATGACTCCGTTTAGACACATGGTTAGCGGGTTGATGTTCTGCATCTGCCTAGTTTGACACTGCGTGATCAGCGTCCGCAACTGCAGGTTCTTGTTTTCAATGACCTCAATGGCATTCTCCAGTGGACTCACTTCCACCTGTGATGAAAAAATATATTGTACGTTACACTAATAGTACATTACGCCACAAAAACCTTGAAATAAGCTGCCAGTAGGGCTACATTTTCGGTTATTTTACAGACTTATGTCTCTATATATATTATACTTTATATTATTTAAAACTATAAAAATGACAATAAAAGTCACTTTGTTGAAGTGTAGAGTTGAATTTTCAACATCAAACGTCAACAGAGCAGAGATCAACATATAAATAATGTAATTCACAACCGTAAATAAACGGAAAACACTTAAAAATCAGAAAATAAGCAAACTTTTAATTAACAGATTTGTTTTACAGTGTAGAGTTTTTCCTTTAAGCTTAATGCAGTGTATGTGTGTCAGAATCACACAACAGCAGAAGTTTGCTGGGATATCAGCTTACCAGTTCCCTCCTCTCCACTTCAAACCATCGAGAGATGCCTGGCAGACTCTGAACAAGTGTTAATGTCGTCCTTTCTACCCACAGGCTCTAAAAACACACACAAACACAAAAGCAAAAGCTCATTGAGAAAGCACACTTCAACTGTCAGAGAAAGTCCACAAAGTCCCACAGCGGCTGCAAAATATACAACGAGAGAAGACTTTCCTCCTCCAGCATGTATAATACATATCATTTAATCTACACTTTAAGCAGCTCATTCTCAGCAACACAGACTCCACATATTAAATTTCGCATTCATAAATTCATTTCCCCTGTATAACAGAGGAAGAACTTCAGATTGCTTGATTGGGATATTCAAAACCACCCCGGTCCAATATAATCGCATCATCTGGATGGCATCGCAGCCCAAGTTTACCTCCAAATGAGATTTTCAGACATTATTACTGGGCGGTAAGTGGAGCGGGGTGCCGAGTACCCCCGGTGTCTCTGAGAATATAATATCTGGCAGGCTAAACAGTTTATTTCAAACACAGTAACCGCCGGAGGTCGGGGGGAAATCTAACCCCCGCGGTGGATCGAATCCACGCCGAGGCTGTGATTGTCTGTGCTGGATATATTGAGTGAGAAGGGGAAGGGAAATGATATTTGGAAGGAGCCAGTCTCTCAGTCCCTAAAACTTTAATTAGCCTCTCTGGACCGAGGCTGTGAATAATGCAGCATGTGAGAGAACACCTGAGCTCCACACACACACACACACACACACACACACATATACACACACTCAAAGTGAAAGAATGAATAGTCACAAGAGTGAAAAGTGAAAGAAAAATGACATGAAAAGAACACAGAGTTCACCCCCTGAATGAAAAACTCACACATTATTACTCGCCTCCATGACTTTTTTTACCATCTATACAATTTGAAGAATGTGCTGGTCATTTTATTTTTGGCCATTTACAATGAACAGCCTTCAGAAGGGACATAAAGGGAATGCAGAACAGTTCATATGGACACTAAGACTTGGACACTAAATTACAAACTCAAATAAGGCGTACTTGTGGCTTTACGATTGATCCAAAACTGGGAATTCTAGAAAATGGCATCTTCAAAAATTCACATTCAAGTTCCCCAGAATTGCTGGATGTAAATGAAAGACAAATATAGGACAGAATAATAATAATGAGCAGAAGCTCAATAGTCAATGGGTTAAACACTGCAGCTGGAATTGATCTGAGTAGGATAAGGATCTGTCTGATCTTAACCTTTAGGAGAGTTTGGACTGCAGTGATCAAACCTTCGTCTGCAGCAGGAATCAAAAACTAATCTGCATTGAGGAGCGTGTTGTGTGGACAGAGAGCTGGACCAATGTTCACTTCATTGGTGAAAGCAAGGTTAATTTAATTAATTCTGATGGAAAACTTTATATTCCAAAAAACTAAACCAAAGTTGTGCCAAAGTCAGTAAAGGTGGAGATTAAATGTTTATGGTTTGATGATTTTATTCTGCAGCAGGAGTTGAATCTCTAAGGTGTTGTTTACAATAATACATTTACATTTAAAAAGTGTAAGTTTGAAGGACTTATTTCTGAAATATTGGACTGAATAATGCAAACCATTGTTGAATATATAACAATGTTTATTCGTTCCAGTTGAGATTTGAGAAATCCTTACATTTGTACATGAAATACTATGTTGTAAAACAGTTCTATAAATATAAGAGGTAATGACCCATTCACACGGGGCGTCAATGCCTCCTATTCACTTTGAATGGGGGACGTCAGGCGTTGTCGAACTGAAATGTGGGTTTGCGGCGCTGCTTCAGTGGCATTGCTAGCTGCAGAGGTTGGGACTTTCTCAACTTTTCAAGTGCCAACGGAAGCGTCAGCCAATCAGATTGCTGTATGCAAATGCACTAGCTCAGACAGTAGACGATTCCTGACTAATTTCATTGGCTGACACTGCTATGACGATTGCGTTAGCCCCAACTTAAGACACGGCCCCTGTCAGGCGTTGACGCTGAGGCCTCATGTAAATCGCATTAAAATAATGGTCTATTAGTTAATGCTAGCCAATACTAACAAGAACAAACTATTAGTACATTTAATAAAATACATTTATTATAGTATTTATTCATGTTAGTTAATGTTAAGTTAAATGATGCTAGTTCATGTTAACTCACTGTGCATTAACTAATATGAACAAGTGCAATTATTATTTTTTAACTATGATTTATAAATACTTTACTAGATTTTTTATGTTTAACGTTAATAAATACATGAACTAATGGACCATTTTTTGGTAACACTTTATTTTGATGGTCCATTTGAGTATTAGTAGACTGTCTGCTTAATATCTGCTGATACTGCTCCTTTAACAGACATTTCAAGTACTATAAGAAACACTGCAAGTATACATGTCAACTTGCACTAACCCCAACAGTCTACTTATAATCGAATGAGAATTAGTTGGCATGTAGATGATATCTAATCTAAATTCAACGAACGGACCATCAAAATAAATGTGACCATTTATTCTAAAGTGTTACCAAATAAAGTATTAAAACGCATACGTTTTTTAGCGGCTATACTGTACTTGGTGTCGACACTACTCTGGCATCTTTAATCCATAAAAACTAAGCATTTTAAAAATGCTAAATGCCTTATATTTCAGTGTTTTTCTATTTCAGTATAGAAGGACTAAAAATTTTCACTTTTCTATCCACAATCACTCTGAAGATTGTTTTTCTAAATAATAATAATAAAAAAATCAATGTGGTTGTCATAAAAAAAGCATTTTTAAAACAATAACGCACTTGTTTACTTGTTTCCATATGACAAAGTCAATGCAAACTGGCAGACTCAATGCAAACTTTAAGGAAAACAGCAACCAGCACATTCTTCCAAACATCTCTTTTTGTATTTGACAACAGAAACAGTCATATATGCATAGAGGGACACCAAAAAAGCAAATGAATGACAACGGAAGCATAAAATCTAGTGTATATAAAGGCACACAGAATCCATTAGCTCACCTTAAATTCGTTTTCTTTGTCCTTGGTGCCCTTGTGAAATGGCCGGTCATAGCGAAACCTCCAGATGTGGTTGACCTTATAGAAGCTCTTGATGTTATCGGGGACGCCGTCACGCTGCAGGACATCCTGGCTGTCTGGGATTGGCGTGACAGCATAGATTTGCAGATCTGGATGAAGATCCGTCAAGGAATTTGCAATGTGTGACGCTCAAAAACAAATGCATTTGAAGTGCAATAATATTATATTATTAATAAATCTCCTAAAATGAATGAATGACTTTGCACATTACAGACACTCCAAAAAAAAATGATGTTTGCTGTTTTATTCCACCTACTTCTTTACATTTGAAGTAGAACAACACAATTACTGTTATTTTTTTTTTTTTTGGAGGCGGGAACAACTTAATTTTTAGACTTGCAGATCAGAACAAATATTTGTTGCAATGTGTGATGCTCCAAAATAAATGCATTTGAAGTGCAACAATAATAATAATATATTCATAAATCTTTTAAGAAGTGTTTTCATTCAAAAAAATCTATTTTAAAACAAAAATGCACTTGTTTACATGGCGCCATACAAAGCTACTGTATATATGATAAAGTCAATGCAAACAGCAACAAGCACATTCTTCAAAACGTCTCTTTTTGTGTTTGACAACAGAAACAGTCATACAAGCATAAAACAAATGCATTTAAAGTGCAATAATAATATTTTAATAGATCTTTTTAAATGAATGAATGATTTTGCACACTACATACACTCAAAAATATGACATTTGTAGTTTTATTCAACCTAGTTTCTTTAAAATGAGCTGAAACAACACACTTATTGTTTTTTGGGGAAGGGGACAACTCATTTTTTTATATTCAATCTACTTAAATTTGTATAAACTAGAACTAAAAGATAACACAATATTTATCTGAGCTTTTAATCCCATGCCCTCCTAGACATGCTTTGCGCTCATCTGATGCTGGTCTCAGTCAACGCAGGTAAAATCAATGGAAGGCATTCTCTTCATTGGCACCTAAGGTATGGAACCCTTTACCCTCAGATATTCGCAACACAGACTGTTTTTAAATCATTTCTTAAAATTACTTTTTACGGTTATTATTAGTTTTAGACCTATTACTATTGTTTTTATGTGTTTTTAATTATTGCTTTTTTGCATTTACCCTTGAATCTTTTAGTGCTGCACATTTTAAATGTCTGTAAAGTGCCTCGAGGGGCTACTTTTAAAGATGCTATATAAAAATAAAGTTTATTATTTAATATTATTATTATTTTTATTATTAAAAGTTAACTTAATTCAGGCTTCATACACATTTTTACTACTAAAATTCCATGACTTTTCAATGACTTTTCCAAAACTTTAAAGTAAATATTCATGATCTTGTTTCAAATTTCATGTTATGTCTATGTACACTTAGTAAATGACAAAAAAATGCATGTTCAAATTTATTACAGCATATCAAAAAAATATATGACAATCTATGGGGTTTATATTTATTTTTATATCTGTAAAATAGTTTTTAGAAAGTATCTTGCTGTCTGCGTGAAAGTTTCATAATGATGGCTTGTGTTTTCAAAAGACTTAAGACTAGTACAAAGTATCCTTCAGCACTCACAGTATCTTACCTCTGCAGTTAGATATTGCTCTCAAAATGCATCTTGATTTACAGTGAAAGAGAGGCGAAGGTAAAGTTGGTTTAGATTTTTTTAAGTTATTGCTTTTTTCTACCCATTTAATTTTGTTAAAGGATACACATCAAATATAGTATCAAGTATAAGCTAAGTTCATCTCAAATATTTTTTCAGACCTTTTCAGGTTTTCCAGAACCGTATAAACCCTGTTAATTCCTTCATGTCCTCCCAACACAAATCGTTTGTGTGGAACCCAGTATTTTTTGTAGTGTATGCATATATTTACAACAGTTTTATACAGTATTATTTGATTATTTAATATTAACTTTTATATTATATTATATTATATTATATTATATTATATTATATTATATTATATTATATTATATTAATTATATTATATTATATTATATTATTTTATATTAATTATATTATATTATATTATATTATATTAATTATATTATTTTATATTATATTATATTATATTAATTATATTATTTTATATTATCTTAATTATATTATATTAATTATATTATATTATACTATATTATATTATATTAATTACATTATTATATTATATTATATTATATTAATTATATTATATTATACTAATTATATGATATTATATTAATTATATTATATTATATTATATTATATTATATTATATTATATTATATTAATTATATTATATTATACTATATTATATTAATTACATTATTATATTATATTATATTATATTATATTATATTATATTATATTATATTATATTATATTATATTATATTATATTATAAAGACAGAGTTCAATAAGAGATTTTGCTGTATTACTGCTATCCCCTCCTCACCAACAAAAGCAGACAACATTCCATTTGGAAAACACCCCCCGCAAAATGTTGAAAACCCCAACATCATGTGCCTTACAGATACGAGTTCTGATCAGCACATAAATATGAATCGAGCAGGGCAGACATCCAGGAAGACCAATGATTAATCGCTGGCTTTGGATAACAAAACGCTGCGCTCATGCAGTTTGACCGGGCCTGTCTGCTCTAATTGTGCTGAGGAGGACGTCACAAATTCTCTGAGCTCCAGGCCTCCAGGTCCGTGTCTCATCAATTGAGCAAACGCTCTCCTATGACCTGCTGTCTCCACCGCTGATGTGTGCACAGAGAGAGGGGAAGGGGATCGATTAGCAGACACGTGGATGTGTAGTTAAAGTTAGCGACTCTGGCTTTGCTGGAGTAGGGCTGATGTTCGATCACACTCATGTACTGTAAATATTTTATAATATGCACAGGTAGTGTTTTCAGCCAATGATAAACTTCCAGTGAAAGGTTTATGTGACTATTTTCAATTTTACATGGTTCCTTTGACGGATGTTGCAATGTAATTAAAATACAATCGGTTAAACAGATTTAAGTGTTCATTTAGTTGTTTAAGCGTAAAACAAGATGAAAACTAGCGCCATCAGTAACAGTAGGATACTGAAACTCCATTGAAAATACTGGGATGAAATAAATTTCCATATTTTGAAGACAGGACATGGAAAATTTTTATTTATCAATTAGGCGGTGAAGATCACTGATTTTGAACGAAATCAGGTCTTAAACATGCTGATTTTATAATAGCATGACATTTAGTGCTTAGGCTTGCTGATTGCAAACTAAAAGTCAGTGTGCATTTACTGTACTGTCTATTAACGAACAATCATATGTTAAACTTGTTGGCAAATCACCACCAGGTCCCACAATGATATTGGTGTAGGACAATTTGTAGTATCACAACATTGGGAAAGTTGACTGCGACTCCCAAATAATGTGATTTCAACTTAAAAGTCTGTGATTAAAGTAACAGGAAGGATGTTTCACATCAAAATGCTTATTTAATGCACACCAAATTTAATTCAAACTCTAGTCCTTAAGGCCTGGACACACCAAGGAAGATGTTCGAGAGGAAATACAAAGTAGTTAGTTGTCATTTTGTTGAATTTAATAAATATTTGCTTTGATAACTATTTAATATGGATTATGAGAATATCAGACATGTTTGCACAAGCAAATCTTTCTATGGTGAGTATGAATACTGTGAAAATGGTAAGCACTGGTTTGTTTGTGTGCAGCACTAGTTCCCTTTTTGTTTTAGCCAATATTTTTATTAGTTGTTTGTTTGTGGTATCGCTGGTTTTACAGACACCACATGAACATCACATTAAAATCAAATGTGGAACACATGAAAAAAAAACAAGTGAAGCATATACGTGGTTATGAAACATTTGATTTTTTTGTGATCACATTTCCACATGCGAGTTTCATATGAAAATATTTCAATACGTGTTCCATTTATGTTCCATTTATGTTCCACATATTTCACATGAAACTGCACAGGTTTTCTACCTCTCGATCATATTTTCACATGTCTTCAGTTATTCTTATTTGGTCACAAGCTTCACATAAAAACAATGTTTCACTAGTGTTCCCCATTTATGTTCCACATATTTCATTTGCGTTTTTTTTATTTTATTTTATTTTATTTTATTTTTTTATTCTGACCGACTGTTTTCCACACTTCATTTCAGTGTATTGTGTTCAGATTCCTAAGTATAAGCTATATTAAAAAAATACCAACTGTTGTGAACCTGCAAAAGTTAGACTCTTTTTAAGGCAGAGATGTGTGAAGGATACACTGGGCTTCAGCCTGGTAAATGGTCTGGTCAGGCTGGTTGGCGTGTTGCATTGCGATGGCATGAGGGAACTCATTGAGCATGCGCTGCTGGAACGCCTCCAGACGCTCGTAGTCATGACCACGACACACAAACTCCTTATTCTGCACATCACACGCACACACACAAATAACCTGGTTAATACTGACACCAAGTGGACTTCAGAGTTACTGTCAGAGACAAAGAAGACACAAACCCGTAGAAAGAAGGGGAACTTCTTGCCGTAAAAGCCCACTCTGAAGAACTCCGGCTCCAGCCGCTGTTGGTCCATGATTTTATCGTAAAACGAAGCCTCCATCATCTGTGATTTGCATATGGTTAGCAGACTGGTGCACACACTTCATGCATCTAATTAATTGTGAACATTTCCTTCATAAATATATATTTGCATGACAATATTCCACATTCTCTGCCTGTAAATGTTAGATAAATGACTTCTGTTATGAATGGCATTCTTGTAAAATGATGCATTAAGTCACTAATTAGGGTTGATGTGTAAGAGTTATGTTAATGAAATGTTGATCCCTTTAAGAGCTAAGGGAAATGCGCTTCTTTAAAGAGCTGTAACTCACCCTCATCTTGCTGAGGTTTCTGTAATCGTAGTAGGATTCATACTGGTCTGCTAACTCTCTGCACAGGAGGATGCCGTTCTCCCAACACTGAGGAGAGAGGAGCGTTTTAATTCACATGCAATTTTATAAAGTACCAGTAGGAGACACTAGAGCACCATTAATATGAATAAAATAGAAAATAAAATAAAATAAAATAAAATAAAATAAAATAAAATAAAATAAAATAAAATTAAATTAAATTAAATTAAATTAAAAAATAATTAAATTAAATTAAATTATTTGAATACAAAAACATTAATATTACTTTATATTTCCTAATTAAACCAATAATATAATAATAAAATACAATTTGCCTACAAAAAGTTAATTAATATGGCTTAATATTTTCTAATTAAAGGAAATGCTTTTTAAAGCAAGCAAGAATAAAGCACAAATAAAATAAATATAATGCTTTGAATACAAAAATATATGAATATTGCTTTCTATTTTTAAGTAAACCTATAAAATAAAACATGATTTGTCTACAAAAAAATAAACTAATAAGGCTTTATATTCTCCAATCTATTGTAGTTTGTACTGTACTTTTCTTTTATATGTCAGCGTGCACTTTGATCTGCAATATTTTATAGTGCTTAAAAAAAAGATCAGATCTATTTCATTTGCCAAACACTCATACACTAAGACGTATATCATTCATCAAGCAGAAACGTTTCAGTGATATTACTTTCTAAATCCTGCATCCCGACAGATGACTCCTGCCACAATGAAAGCAGACAACAAATGCACTGATTTTTCACTCTCATCAGCAGACAAAGTGATTAAGTCGCTGATTATGTACATAGCATTTCGTTGTGAAGGATAACTGCTCGAAATACAATCACCCATTGATAATTTCATAACAAGAAGCAAGATGAAAAATGAAAGGAAAAATGCAGAGAAAATTCAGACCTTTCCGCGATCAAAGTTCTGGATGATTGTGAGATGCAGATACTCCTTTCTCTGCCACTCGCTCTGCATGGGATAACTCAAAAACTCCCTCAAGGGCCTTTCAGACCATTCCAGCAGCTCGTCATACAGCAGAAGAGTATACGAGGCCTCTGTAGAGACAAAAAACATGATAAAATAACAGTGGAAAAGAAGATTAGAGAGTGATCCATCCATCCATCCATCCATCCATCCATCCATCCATCCATCCATCCATCCATCCATCCATCCATCCATCCATCCATCCATCCATCCATCCATCCATCCATCCATCTATCTATCTATCTATCTATCTATCTATCTATCTATCTATCTATCTATCTATCTATCTATCTATCTATCTATCTATCTATCTATCACCTTTTTAAACATTTACACTAAAACATTTCCTGGATAAACACATACTTATCAATTTAAAAATATGCGTTATATTAAAATATGTTTTATCAAAATATGTTTTTCCTCCCCTTTCAATAAATATGTGCAAGTATATACATAGTGTATATCTCATACGTACACATCACGCTAGAACAGTACTTTACAAAATAACCTTTAATATCTTTTTGGTTATTATTTGTTTTTTTTTTACTTTAAGGTCAGCAGAGTAGTATCATGAAAGATTAGTTTAATAGATTTGTCACATAATTAAGGTATTAAGGTATATTATCATCGATTACTGGAAGTAATCTGAACATTTTCTGTCATTTTATTCAGTGTTTTTTTTATTATTATTATTTTAGATGTAATTTATGTTTTTTATTGTGCTTCAGTCTATGCAACTTATGAAATATGTGACTATAAAAACAGCCACAATCAATAGTGTAAATATTTGGGAAATTAAGATTCATACATAAGATTTGCATTGATGTGTGTGATTGTTAGAATAAGAAAACATTTGACAGAGATGTAACTATCTAAAAATCTGAAATTTGAGGGCTCCAAGCATCAAAATACCTTCAAAGTTATCAAAATTAAGTTCTTAGCAGTGCATATTACCAGTCAAAAATTGTGTTTTGGTATATTTACAGTAGAATACATACAAATATCTTCATGAAACATGATCTTTACATAGCATTCTAATGATTTTTGGTTTTAAAGAAATATCAATCATTTTCACCCATACAAATATATTTCAGTGTCACACAATCAATCAATTTAAATTTTTCCCAACTTGATGGTCAAGAATAAATTCTTATTGTTATCAATGCTAAACACTTAGTATTGGCTTAATTTTCCATAAATCTTCTGGAAGTAAAATTTTGATATAGGGCTCCAGAATACAGAAAATGTAACTCATAAAATATGTGACCACAAAACCAGTCATTAGTGTCAATATTTAAGAAATTAAGACGCATGCGTCATCCAAAAGCTTGACTAGATCGTATAAATAGGATTTGCATTGATGTGCGGGATTGTTGGATGAATAACAATTTGATTAAAAACATTGAAAAGACAACTATTTAAAAATCGAGATTTTGATGGTTGCAAACATCAGATCACTGAGAAAATCAACTTTAGATCTGTCAAAGATTCTTAGCAATGCATATTAACAATCAAATTGGGTTTTGACACATTTACAGTAGAAAATGTACAAAATAACCTTATGAATTATGATCTTTACTTAATATTATAATGTTTTTGGCATAAATTAACAATTTGACCCATAACAAAAACACAATTTTGGCTCTTCCCAAAAATATACCCAGTGGAACATAAGATTGGTTTTGTGGACGAAAGCCATGGATGCTTAAAAAAACGTCTCTTTCTTAGGATAACCTCAAATATAGCCAAGCTGTGATCTAACAATTAAAAAAATGTGCTTTGTTCTCTGATGTTATTTTCTCTGCCTTACGTGCTTCAATCTGATAGCTGAAGTACCTGTGTAATTCTGTGCTTTCAGATGCAGGTCATACAGCTTGTGAATGTAGCGGATGTACATCTCTTCTTTGTTCAGCTCCGTTTTGTAGAAGTTCTGCAGAAAAGAGACAAAGAGCTGTGGAGATGATGCTCTTCAAATGCTTCTTAGCATCGCTCTGCTTTATATGAATGGATTTTTAAGAAGACACTTGAAGAACGTATAAAAGCAAAAAAAAAAATCATTCCATTCTAGGTCATCAACAATAATAGGGAAAAAGATGTGTTTTGTTGAATTAAAGCGCTAAAAACTTCTCTTTTTCTTTACCTCCAGGTCTTGAACCAAGACTGAGAGCCTTCACTATAAATCTAAACTGAGATGGAACGATACTCAAAGCAGGTTTTGAGTGAATAATACTTATATAAAGTGATAAACATTGATATAAAAGATAGTGAATAACGTACCAGCAGACTGACTGTACAGCCGATCTTTTTTCCATCCACTTCTCCCAACTTCATACAGTCTCTGCAAAACAGAAATGTGTCCAATGTGACAAGCAGCAGCAAAGTTGCATTTTTAAGAGTGTTGTTAATTGAGACATTGTTGTGAGCCATTTTGTCAAGCGTTATTGGATTTCTAATGCATTTTGAGAGGTCTTATTGATCGAGTTTGAGGCTGTTGTGGACCGTTTCATTGCAGTTTACATGTGCTTTAATGCGTGTAATTGTTTTCTCATTTTTTGATGAGGGTTATGGATCGAATTGTGATGGGGTTTCATTTTGTTTTGTTGCAGTTTGACATGCTATGCATTACTGTGTCTTAGATGTCGGTGTAGTTGTTAATGTAAATGATCTATTATATGGTGAATTACAAGAATATGTGTAGTGTGTGTTATTTATTTTTCACTGATTAATGAGGCAGTAAATAAAAAAACAGTAATATTCTGAAACATTATTGCTGACATTATTTTTAAAAAGACTTCTGTGACAAAATGCTGAATTATTTGCATCCTCACTCAAGACATAAACATGAAATAATTTTAATATCCTGACAAACCACCTGTAGAGACATTCTTCTCTCTAAATGCATCGAACTTAGCTTAAACTCCATCTTAAGACCCAATAAGGAAAACAATGTTTACCTGTGAATGTACCACACAATCATGTTGCACAACTTGTTTTCCTCAACCATCCTTTAGCACAATATCTTGCATTTTTGTTCAGCAAAAGTACTTGTACAGACTATATATAGTCAGTTGGGTTGTCGGTATAGCTAAATACTTATAGTATATGTAGTGGTTAGTATAGATAGATGACCAGTACATTAGTTATATATAAGCTTTAAAAAAGCTCTCATGTCCAGTCTTGTGTTCATATTTATGATTGCGTATCTTTATGTAGTGCCATGATCCTGTTAGATATGACATTTCGTTCCACTGTATTTCCACTCATGTATTGATATAACAATGAAGCTCAACTTGGCTTGAGCATAAAACAATTACTATTATTTACTGGTTTATTACCTGCCTATTATTAGTTATTAACTGTTTATTAGTAGTTCTAAAGTATGATCTTATCCTTCAACCCTAATCCAACTTCTACCTTACTGACTATAATTGCACAGCTAATTAGTGGTTTATTAAGCTAGTAGTGTTAGTTAATGAGTTGTTAACATTGTGAATTGTGAAAGCATCACCGAAAAATCTTTGCAAAACAAACAAAAGTATTTAGTGCTCATTTTGTTCAATATAACGCATTGCTGTTGAATAAATATGCTGTTTTCTCTCTCTATCAGGAATGTATTAAATGTGAAAAATGGAAATTATATATTTTCATGATTTAGTTCAATATAGTGCATTTCCCATAAATAAACATAGTATTGGCTCTCTCTTAAACTAAAAAACTTTAGTCTGAACAGCTAGTATTTTATATCAGTTTAATGCATCTCTGTTGACTAGATATACTACTCTCTCTCTCTCAAACAATGTCTGAACAGCTAGTATTTTATCTCTCTATGATTTACTTCAATATAACGCATCTCTGATGATTAAATATACTATTCTCTAAAATAAAAAAAACATCTGAGCAGCTAATATTTTATATTTAGTTAATTGATTTCTGTTGACTAGATATACAATACTCTCTCAAAAAAATGTCTGAACAGCTAATATTGTATATATTTCCATGATTTAGTTCAACATAATGCATCTCTGTTGAATAAATATACTATTGTCTCTCAAAAAAACTGTCTGAACAGCTAATATTGTATATATTTCCATGATTTAGTTCAATATAATGCATCTCTGATTAATAAATATACTATTGTCTCTCTCTCAAACTAAAAAACAACGACTGAACAGCTAGTATTTTATATCTATTCATGATTTACTTCAAAATAATGCATCTCTGATTAATAAATATACTATTGTCTCTCTCTCAAACTAAAAAACAACGACTGAACAGCTAGTATTTTATATCTATTCATGATTTACTTCAAAATAATGCATCTCTGATTAATAAATATACTATTGTCTCTCTCTCAAACTAAAAAACAACGACTGAACAGCTAGTATTTTATATCTATTCATGATTTACTTCAAAATAATGCATCTCTGATTAATAAATATATTATTGTCTCTCTCTCAAACTAAAAAACAACGACTGAACAGCTAGTATTTTATATCTATTCATGATTTACTTCAAAATAATGCATCTCTGATTAATAAATATACTATTGTCTCTCTCTCAAACTAAAAAACAAAGACTGAACATCTAGTATTTTACATCTATCCATGAATTACCTCAAAATAATGCATTTCTGATTAACGTCTCATTCAAAAGACGGCACTCACTGAGCAGTATAGGGTCCCCATCACTATACTTGGGCATTAGGACCAACCAATAAATAAGCTATAATTATTATTATTATTACAGTGAAATAATTTATCAAATATAACAGGGTGAGGTGAGCTTGTGTCGTGGACTCTCCGCCCGCTCTGAACATACAGGTTTGGTTTTCAGCAGCGGTGTGAAGGAGCCGCCCACAACTCTTTCTAACAAGCTACAAGTCGTTTATATAACTAACTTAATCTTACTTATTAAACAAAACATTGATTCACTAGCTTTTCTTAATGGTATTACTATAGTAGAATATAGCCTAAGGTGGATGTATAGCATTTTGCAAAAAAAATTAAAATAAAAAGTTATGTTGTGTACATTCTGGCCAAATCTAACTCAGAATCTTATTCTTATTAATCAATCTTTGTATATATTATTCCATATATTTATGATTTATAGTTTTTTTTTTACCAATTTAAGAAGTTTGACAATGCTAAGATAAGTATTTTGCAATGTGGAATGGTTTTTAACTTATTTATGAACTATTTATGGACATAAAATTAAATAACAAATATCCTGGATTTGAAAAATATTGTGTTCCGGGCCTTCAGTGAGCTTAAGTAATAGTTTAATGTACAAAAATTTTGAATCAACTTGACTGTTGATGTCTTAAATAATAATGTCAAATTACCTAAAAATTACATTTTTAAAAATGGATATATCCCATTTTGCAATCCCATTTTTCAAATAAACGAATGTCTCTCAAAAAAATAATGTCTGAACAGATATTGAATCAATTTACCGCATATCTGTCGACTGGATACATAATTCTCTCTCTTTTTTTTTCTTTTTTTTAAATCATCCGAACAGCTAGTATTTTGTATAATTGCATGGCTCTCAACTCTTAAATTCAGACAGGACTGATGTGTTTTTCTGCTCAGTGTCATACCTGTAGTCCAGCAGTCGCTCCATTAAGCGCGTGACGGTGGCGATGAGAGAAATCCCGCTCTCTCTCCATGTTTCCCTCTCAATCTTCTTCAACAGACTGACAGAGAAAACACAAAACAGCAGAAAAGAGTCACATTTCTGTCCATCACATATCACATCATGCCCTACACACACACACACACACACACCTGTCCAGCACAACACATACGTCATCTTACCTAGGATATGGACCGAACAGAGGAATTCTAGTCCAGAGCAGCATTAACAAAATAAAGTCATGTTAATAGATTAATGTCAGCAGCATCCACTCATACTGTGTTAGTGCAGTTAGTAGAAAGTAAGCGGAGTAAATGAAGAATGATACACAGCTTGAGAAATAAAATCAGCTGTCATGCAAAAATCCATAATTTTAATTACTCAAGTCATTATTGTAATTTAATGTAAAATTCCTGTTACAGTGTCTAAAAATGGTTTCATTATTTTCAGAAAATATATACTTTAATTATTATTAAACTAGATGTACGTTAAATATAATGAATATAATAACAAATATTCATCAGATGCAATTACAAGATTTCTGCAGGTTTCACTGACTTGAATTTAAGATGTTAAGACATTTTAAAGACCATAATGAATTAAATTTTAGACTCATAAAGGGCTAAAGGCTAAGGAACTGTTCAAATGGCCCAGATGGAAAAGATTTTTATTTGACCTATCAAAAAATATTTTTAAGTAATTTAATACATTTAAAAATACAATAATAGAATAATACAATCGGTTAAAAATTACATTTTTAAATAAAACGTTTCAAGGTTTATTGAAATGGATTGTTGGTGATTGTATGGCTTTTGACCAGACTGGTTAGCTATACATGAACAAAGGAAAATTAAGACCTACTTAAAAAAAGATTTAAGACCTACAACGCAATATCTCTGCAAATTTAAGACTTTTTAAGGCCCAAAATTTGGATTCTGAGATTTAAGGCATTCTGAGACTTTTCAAGAGCCTGCAGAAACCTTGAATATACCCTGATGCAATTGATTTTGTTTGTTATTTTTTTTCCATTTATTTGTATTTAATTTTTTGTGTTTTTTATTATTATTTTTAATAAGTTTTATCTTATTTTTAAGTCTTTCTATCAAAATGGCGGCAAAAAATGAAATATTAATAAATAAAATCGGCAAATCACACATTGTAATATATATATATATATATATATATATATATATATATATATATATATATATATATATACATATACATATACATATATATATATATATATATATATAGTTTTTCTAATTTTTGTAATCAAATGTAAATCACAATGCTCTTCCTATTGTATAAATCCTAAGTTAACATGCCTAATAAATGTATTAAATTATTTGCAGAAAAGATATACAGTGAACTATTATTAAGCTAAATGTGCATTGAATATGCTGAATCTCATATACAACAACATTCATTAAAGTGATTATTGTCACAGATGCAAATAACTGTTATGCAACTAATTGTTAAAGTAGTTTTTGCATTCATTTGTATTTTTATTGTTTCTGTATTCCTTTTTTAAATAAAATTAAGTTGTCTCTCTTTTTGAAGTCTTTATATTAAAATATTCAGCAAAGTTCAAGCTAAAATGAATTAGCAAATACACATTGTAATAGATAGATGAATAGATGAATAGATGGATAGACAGACAGTCAGACAGACAGACAGACAGAAAGATATTTCTATTAATATTTGTAATCAAATGTAAAGATTTGATAGCGCTCTTCCAGATAACTTTGGTGTTGTGACCAAATTTAACTCGAACTCAATTTATTAAATGAACAACAGCAGAAAACAAAAATAAACATTTCACCATCGGCATCATTAATTATTGTACTCAATTTAAGTTTAGTCAATTACTTTCACTTATTTTTTACAAAAGTCTATTCAGGCCTTTCAGGCATGGTGTTGGATGCTCTCCACAATGATGCATAACATTAGAAATAACCATCATTTACAAATCACTGCGACACCCACTATTAAGAAGATAAAGCTTAAACCGCTGTAATTCATCTAATCAAGCATGTATAGTTATAATTTTTCAATGTTTCGACTTACATGCTGTTGAAAAGCTCCCTGTAGGTCTCGTCTCCTTTGCCCTCTGACATCAGGCTGTCCAGCTTGTCTATGAGTTTAGCTTCCACCTGTGGAATAGTGAGATACAAAGTGAGTTTTTTTTTTTGAGAGGTGTCCTGCAGGTATCCAGAAGGGGGCGCTGTGTGACCTGTTTAAAGTTTCCACTCCGCCGCTGCTCCCAGTCCATCATATCATGGAAAATGGGGATCATGACGTTCCTCAGGTCCGGCTGAGGTACAAGCGTCACCTCCAGAAATGGGCCAATCATCGCCGGGATGAAGTTTAGCTTGTGCTCTCCTGCAATACAAGAAATGGATGTTCATCACTCGTATGAATAAGATGCGAATATGGCAAAGATTTTGAGGTAACACTTAGCAATTAGGTTGTATTAGTTAATGCTTTTACTGGAACAAACAGATGAATGAACAAACAAACAATGGACAACACATTTATTACAGTATTTGTTGTTAATTGTTGTTTGTTGTTAACAATCCTGAAAATTATTGTTAGTTCATGTTAACCCACAATGCATTAACTAATGGTAACAATCAGAAATTTGAATGTTTTTAATGCATAAGTAAATGCTATACTATGATTAATAAATGGTGTAAAAGCATTGTTTATAATTACTTTGTGTTAGTAAATACATGAACTAATAAAACCGTATTGTAAAGTGTGACCGACTAGGAATGACTGTACATACCGCTGTCAATTTCAATTGTACATATTGCTGTCAATTTCACATTGTCGTATTTGCACTCTGTATTTTGCACTGTAGTTGTATTTGCACTCTCTGTATTTTGCAATGTAGTTGTATTTGCACTCTCTGTATTTTGCACTGTAGTTGGACCCAGCACCTAAGCTTTCACTCATTATAGCTCACGTGCTGCTGATGATGTGACAATAAAAGTGATTTGATTTGACTTGCCTAAATTTTGCCACATGCTGAAGATCTCGCATCCCATCATTACACGCATGTCTCCATACCTGCACACAAACAAAGCACAAATTGGAAGAAAGAAGAAAGGGGTATAATACTATTAAGATCCTGTACCAGGTTAACGATCAAAATACAATTGAGACATTTGCAGACGAAGTTCTTTAAGCAGGTCATTACTGAAGCTACTTCTAAAATATTTTTTGATAGTGTAATAATTTTATGGTTAATAATAAATTAATTGTCAAGGAAATACTTTTAATTTCAGTTTACTTTAACATGACAAAGTCAAATCTATTATTCAGAATATTCAAAATAAGCTAATTTGTTACCTATCATTTAAATTATAATTGAACTTTTTTCATATTATATTAACTAATAGAAATGACAAAAGCACACACACATAAAAAAAAACTGGAAAACAGGACACAAACAAACTACAAATTGCAAAAAAAGAGAAAAAAAAGAGAAAAGAAAAGACTAGCCCCCAATTAAGGATGAACACATAATTATTTGATATTTGCACACTAACTTATTACTGAAGCTGTCTTCAAATTCATTTTTGGAACTACTTTAACTTATTTTTGCAGAAATAAAATAAACATTTGCATGCATGAATGAATGAATGAATAAACAACATAAATAAAATATAATATTAAATTAAACTAATGAATAAGACAGCGGATGCCCTTCCAGCCGCAACCCATCTCTGGGAAACATCCACACACACATTTACACACACACTCAAACACTACGGACAATTTAGCCTACCCAATTCACCTGTACTGCATGTCTTTGGACTGTGGGGTAAACCGGAGCACCCGGAGAAAACCCACGCGAAGGAAGGGAGAACATGCAAACTCCACACAGAAACACCATCTTGCTGTGAGGCGACAGCACTACCTACTGCGCCACTGCCTCGCCCATATAATTTAAATAATAAATATAATTTAATTTAAGATATAATTTAAAATATAAAAATTACGGAAAATGTTAAACTAAACCAAAACAATATAAACAAACTAAAACAAGCCTAATAAAGGAAACATTTTTATTAATAAGATCATTTAGACAGGTTTCCGGCACTCACTTCTCTAGTATTTTCTTTTTCTTCGAGGCAGAGAAAGTCTCGAGCTGAAGGCAGGTCTGGTTGATGAATATTACAGACAGACAGAAGTACGAATCCCAAACCTACAGGAGACAAAAATGTATATTTTTATAGAGGCTTAAATAAAACAAAAGATCAACCATTTCTAGACTGAGAACAAACCTTATAGTCAAACTTCTCACTGAGGAAGTTTTTTCTTAAAGCATCCGACAAGTAGAGCACAGTGGTGATGATGATGCTGAAAATATAAATGAACCGGATCGCATATTAGATCAACATGATACAATCTCACACGTTAAAAACACCATTATGTTCAAGTAAAGGGGTGAAATAATGCAGCTGACTTATTGGTGACGAGCCTCATGACAGTCCAGTCTTTGGGGAACATCTCTGGCCGGATCAGGATCCGAAAGACAGTGAAGATGTGCAAAAGAAAGTCCTGACCAACAGACAGTTTCATGAGTGTTTATGTGTGTGATGAAGAGATGTCAGTGAGATAAAGTGTACTGCAGACTCTCACCCGCAGGTCTTCTTTACTGGTGAATCTCTGCAGGAGCTGCTGATAGTGTTTATCCTTCATGTGCCTCAACAAAGCCAGAAGACAAGACACAAACTCTCCCTGAAATATATATTCAACACATTAGAAACATACAGTGACAGAAATAAATAATAATAATAATAATAATAATAATAAGGTAGCACTTTAGGTATCAATTCTCACTATTATCTACTGGTATATTAATAAAATATTAGCTATTTTTTTAGTATGGAACAAAATCAATGCCAAAAGTATTGAAATAAAATGCTTGTTGAATAGCACAAACTGAAAAAAATAATACATTAAACTAACAACTGCTTGCATTTTAATGACTTAAATTTCAGTGTTTGTATTTTTTAGGTCCTGAAATTTAACACAGCTGTTTATTTAAGATGTGAATTTTTCAACTAAAAATATTTCAAACACATTTGCATACTTAATAATTCATATTCAATTTCCAGATTTCACTTACAAAATATTTAATACCAGTGAAAAATACTAAGCATAATATTCAAAGGGTAATTTTCATAAGGTAATTTAATTTTATTTCAGTTCAAAAAATTGCTTCCATAAATTCAGTGGATCAAATTTGGCTCTTAAAATCTGACATTACTTCCGGGAACTACAGGGAAAGCAACAGATTGCAGATTGACAATCTCCAGCTGCTTTTTCACTAGCAGTTGGACCAATTTAAGTTTTTTTAACCAGTAAATAAGTGAGGAAAAAAGCTTAAAACAGCACAAAAGTAGCATTTAATATTGTCAATGTCAAAATTAACAACCGAATTTGATCCACTGAATTTTTGGAAGCGAATTTTTCAACTGAAACAAAATAGATTGAAAATTGTCTTTTGAATATTATACATGACATCAGGAAATTAAATATGAATCATTGAATTGTTAAGTATATAATCATGTTTGAAATATTTTTAGCTGAAATATTCACAGCTTAAATGAACAGCTGTGTTAAGTTTCAGGCCCTAAAAATACAAACCCTGGCAAACCAGGTCAATAAAATGCAAGCAGTTGTTATTTCAATGTATTATTTATTTCAACTTGTGCTATTTGATAAGCTTTTTATTTCAATACATTTGGCATTGATTTTGTTCTATATTAGTAATTATTAGTGTTGACTAGTGTTTTCTGCATCATCCTATTCTGCATTTCTGATGTAATACCTACCTAAACCTTAATACCTATTAATAAGCGGCAAATTAGGAGATGATTGAAATAAATGTCAGCACATGGTTTATTAATAGCAAGAACTACAGCTTAAAATAAAGTGTGACCAAAATGAAAACTATTGACATCATTTTACAGAAGCATCATAACACATTCAGCCATCAGTTTGCACTTTTATACATTTTCCCAATTTTCCCAAAAATCTCAGAGATGCAATGTCAGACACAATGGAGTCATGCATGGAATGCACTCAATGGAGCTAGTGATGTCACTTTGAGGGGTAGGGTTGGGCATTAAAAAGCATTGCATGCAGCTCAGATTGCATTTCAGATTTATTTATTTATTTATTTATTTATTTATTTATTTATTTATTTATTTATTTATTTATTTATTTATTTATTTATTTAAGACATGTAATAACCACCATTAACACTTCCTTATGTGTTAATCCACTTTCTTATGTGGATTTGAATGGGTGAACTATAAAAAATTTAATTACGTAGTATAAAGTAACTCATATATTTAAACAAGACATTAAAAGACAAGATAAAATAAATATCGAATAATTTGAACACTTTTTAGATATTTTCAGTATAAATTTCCCTAAAAAATACAAAGCAGATTTAATGTGGCTTTAGCAATAAACGGCTCATATAAATTCATTACACACAACCTGTCTGTACTATGGGGAAAAATCCACATTAAACATAAAAGTCTGTGTGAACATGGATGAATAAATTGGAGTAAGGTTTGCATTGGGAATCAGTCAAATCTGCTGCTGCTGGAGAGACTTTGATGTAGAAAAAACCCTGTGCTTTCTTCACCCTGAGGGCTGCTTTCTGATGCTCCATCTCGGCACGCTTCATCCTCACGTTTATTCTTTCTAAACATTTGTTTTTCAAGCCATTGCATTCATTATTATCCATGTTGAAAACAGCTGTGCTTTTCAGGATTTTTTGAACAGACAAAAAAAAAAAAATCAATAAATCAAACGAGCAGTCTTTATTTTGAAACAGAAACCTTTGATAACATTAGAAATGTCTTTACACTATGATGATTATAAACATTAATGTTTTGTACAGCCAAATTCATCCTAGATGAACAAAAATATCAGTAAGTTCTTTTAAAATGATTTTTAATGAAATTAATAACTAATAATAAAAATAAAATTACTAATTTACCAATGTTGAAAACAATTATGCTGCTTATTATTTGTCATTTATTATTATCATTTATTACTATCAGCATTGAAAACAGCTGTTTTACCAGATTTTTTTAAACTAAAAAAAAATTTAAAGATTTTTTTTTTTATTTGAAATAGAATTTGTTTGTAGCATTAAAAGCGTCTTTACATACTAGATTAGTAGATTAACAAAAACATTAGTAGTTCCTTTTTTTTATTCCCCACCATTTTCTATTGTTTATTTTTTTTTTTATTTGTAATAAAATGATTAATACAATTATTAATTCATAATAAAAAATACAATTACTAATTTTGAAAACAATGACACTGCTAAACATCTTCTGTGATGAATGTTTTTTCAGTTTTGATGCACTTAATAATTAATAAAATTACTAATGTTGAAAACAATTTTGCTGCATAATATTTCTTTTCTTTAGTCTCTATTTCCACCTGGGGATACTCATCCCGAGAACCCTACAGACTATGCATTCTATTGATGTGATCCAAGAGCTGTGATGAGATGATCACAAGGTATCCATAATCCTGGACCAGGCCGTATCCCAAGCTGATGCTGTGGTGGTCATGGAGGAATGAAGTGCATGAGACTGATTGATGATGGACCACAGTACAAACAAGTCACCGCATTGATCCTGTGGGCCAGCCTGAACACCCGCCGGCGCTCTACTGTAGTTCTCCACAATGGACGTCCAGCTTCTCCAACCTCCAGCACCTATTGTAGACTGCAGCTTCACACAGACAGCTTGGCCAGAAGAATAATGGTCGTGCCCAACAGAGCCTGGTTTCTCTCTAGGTTTTTTTTTTTCTTTACTTTTGTCTATTGGGGACATTTTTTTCCTTGCCATTGTCATCACTGGCTTGCTCAGATCCGGACTTGTGGAGCTGCGCTTCGGTGGATTTGCTCTTCAGTGTTTGAACTATCAGCAGTGAAATTTAAACTACACTGGACTGAAACAAACTGAACTTCAACTATGAAATCTGGACTTAACCAGAACTTCTATGTTAAGCTGCTTTGACACAATCTCCATTGTAAAAAGTGCTATAGAAATAAACCAGAGTTAAATGTTATAGTTTTATTTTATTAATTGAAAGTAAACATTTATTTTACACTATTTTAAATGTCTTTACTATGCCTTAAATGCCTTAAACTAATTAATCCTGGCTGATCTAAAATATTATATTTTTTCTCTGAGCTGAAAAACTTCTTTGTAACCTCAGTTTCTAGAATATATGCATTGTTAATTAACAAATTTTGAAAACTGCAGAATATTATTTTGCAGAAACAACAGGTCATTCAATTCTAGGAGTCTTTATGTTTGATGTGTGCTGAACAGCAGTATTCACTTTGATTAATGCCATACCGTAACATCTTGAACTTGTGGCCGTAGCGTCGGCCCTGCAGGTTGTGGCCTGTTAGCGACTTCCAGTATAGTCCGCAGTAAAACAGCCAAAACACTCTCCACGATCAGATCCACCTCTTCAGATGAACTGGAATCCTACACACAGAAGCACACAGAAACACACACAGCAGAGGTCAGTGGTGATTTTCTGACAGGTTGTTAATGGCAGAAAGGGTAAGACGGTCATGAAAGGTTCAGCTGTCGTTTCAGCTTATACAAATGCAGGAAGACACACATACGCGCACATGCACACATCGCCTTTATCTTCAAGGTCAGGCTGAACGTCTGCATTTAGACCAGAATCAGCATTTTCACATCCCAGTTTTTCCGCTGCTCTCCTTCAAAGCAGAAGTCAACACTGATGGGAGATGTGCAAAACTTCTGAATGACATGTCTGTCTACTGGAAGCTGTCTGTGGTTACTCACGTTCAGGCTTGTGTGCTGGTGAATTGTGCTGATTTTGAAGAAATTTATGCTAAATAATCTTTTATTCTATCAATCTACCATAGCGTGTGTAAATAGACATCAATGGAAAAACCTAAGCACTGCACATTTGCTACAGTGGTTTGAAGAGTATGCATTTAAACATCCTGTAGTTGATTTTAGTTTCTTATTTGGTTATTATAGTGAACAAAATCCTCCTTTAACTGCCTGTACAATAAGTATGCATGCATAAATCTAGACTGATAATGCTGTAGAAATATTTTTAATATTTAATAATACTAATGTGGGTAATCTTAAAAACAAAGACTTCAAAAATGTTAAATATTTAGCAAAAATGTCTATAAAATTCACATTGAAATAAATTCACAAACAAATATAAATGTATATAATATTTTGTGATATTTATTTAGCAATAATGTCAATATAATTCACATTAAAACATATATACAAACACATATATAAATGTATAATGTTGTATAATGTATTTTGTCGATTAATTGTATTTATCAAATGCAAAAAAACAACCAGTAACTGTACTGCCATTTGCATAAACAACATCAGTCTTAATAGTCAAGCCAAACTGATTTACTTAAAGGTCTAGTTTGCCCAAGAATTAAGATTCTGTCATCATTTACTCATCCTTATCTTCTAAACCTATTTGAGTTTCTTTCTTTTGTTGAAGACAGAAGAAGAGACTATGAAGAAAGCTGGAAACCTGTAACCATCGACTCTCATAGTATTTGTTTCAATGAAAGTCAATGGTTACAGGTTTTCAGCATTCTTCAAAATATCTTCTTTAGTAAGAATCTAACTAAGGATCTGAGAAATCTTTTTGCAAACTTATGTGTGTGATGTTTCAAGAAAGCAACCATTCATTCATGTTGTGTTTTAGTTTCATTTGCTTATATTCATTTATTCTTCATTTAATTATTTTATTTATTCATATGATCATTAGTCATTTATATAATTATCATTATATCATTTTAGTGATCATTAGTTAATGATTTGATTATTATTTGTCATTTTATTATGGTTTTTTTTTATATTTTATAATTAATGTTTTTTAGGGGTGTGACGAGACGGTTACTCCACGAGATTGGGTTCACAAGAATGACACGAGATGAGAATTTTACACTATTTTTAAGAAATTGTCTTTTATTCAACTGGGAAAAAGGGATCTATTTAGGGATTTTTTTTTAAAATCAACTTTCAGTTAATGTTTTTACTTCTATTTGAATGAATTCTATGGAGTAAAGAGCATGCAAACACTGCATAATATTTTCCTAATAGCCGATGTGAATGGAAAGTAGTTTATTATTCATTTTAAACATTAACAAAACATATGCTAATATATAAACGGAAAATAGATTTTAATTTAACTGGAAAAAAACAACTGCAAAACAATTTAGGTGCTTTAAAAATAAAAAGAAGAAGTCGAATGGTATTTTACTTCTATTTAAATGCTAATTTCACCCTCATGCTCCATTATAAAGTCACAACTCATGAAAGAACTTTTCAACTCCACGACAAATCTTGGCGCGATTCAATCTCACGAGTTCTTGTCATACGAAATCTTCTCTACTATATTCATATAGTTATCTCTTTATTATTGTTTCCATTTTTCCATATTGTTATAATCTTATGATTGTGGATTCATGCGGCTCTTGTTTTTATGAGTAACAGATAAGAGTATGTCCCCATTTCAAGTTCTGTATTGTCTCTGGACAATGTTGTGAAGCAGTAATTTTCCATTGTTGTTGCTTGTGGTATATTAACACTTGTTGGATTTATCGTGGTCAGTCAAAGTCTCCTGCTTCTGCTCCTCTCTGTTTTTTTCAGTCAAATCCTACATTGATAGGAGACCGTTAATTCAGTTGAATATTGGTTAACAGGTTTGGATATTAGAAAATTTGCTGACTTGTTGTCCATATCCTAGAAAAAACAGATATTTTCTGACAAGATCTGGCATTTGGGGCTGGATCGTATTTATCTGGCGTGGAGTTGGTGGTCTAACAGTGTTCATCAAAAGCAAGAAACTCATAAAGGTCTATAACCATTTGAGGAGAGTCGATAATGAGTAAAAACTATCCCTTTAAAAGTATAACATCTGAAGTTCAGTTTCGGTCCAGACTAGAACAAAATACTGCATCAGAGTTCACTTTAACCAAACCAAACCAAACCAGAGGTGAATTAATCTATCAAGAATAAAAAAAACGTGTAAAAATGTGTATTTTCTTACCGTGTCGTCCTTTTTGAGAAGAGACAGCATGCAGGTGAGTATATGAGCACACATCACCAAATCTCTCTGCTCCTGCATGTGAGCCTGGAGCAAACGCAACACCACCGGCAGCAGGACACATCTGGAATCTGACAAAAACATTCAAGAAAACTCACTCTCAATAAGGCTGTCATCATCGTTATCTTCACTGTAGACTCTGTGATGTACAGAATATAGTTTCCAGGTGCAAACCTCTACTCAGCTGAGGAAACACTTTTAATATCCATTTATGACCACTGTTTAGTCATTAGCATCAATGCTAACACCACATGACATAACAACTTCTATATGTTGCAAATAAGGTTAAGTTGTAAGAATGAATCAATTTTCACAAAGTGCATCACACAAAAAAATCTAACCATTAATAAAAGATGAATCCCTGCTGAAAAATCCAACTTTAACCAGCCTAGGCTGATTGACTGGTTTTAGCTAGTCGACCAGGCTGGTTTTAGAGGGGTTTTGGCCATTTCCACGTTGGTTTCCAGCCATTTCCAGCCTGGTCTTAGCTAGTCAGGCTGGAAAATGACCAGCCAAATCCAGCTGAAACCAGCTTGACCAGCCTGGTTTAAGCTGGATATAGCTGGTTTTGGCTGGACTCCCAGCTTGGCTAGGCTGGTCAAGCTGGTTTTAGCTGGTCATCTCCCAGCCTGACCAGCTAAGACCAGGCTGGAAATGGCTGAAAACCAGCCTGGAAGTGGCCAAAATCCCTCTAAAACCAGGCTGGTCGACCAGCTAACACCAGACAACCAGCCTAGGCTGGTTTAAGCTGGATTTTTTTAGCCGGGATATATAAACATTGCGATGATTGTCTATACTATTGCAGCACACTTTGAGTTTATATATTTGTGATACACACTACACTCCTTGTTACAAACTACTGTTTAATCCACTTAAATTTGTAAAAACAATTAAGTAAACGTAATTGATTAGTGTCTGGAACACATAAAGTAACTGTGTGGGATTCAGCTTTTTTTAATAGAGTATTTTTGTTTGCTTTTGGCATCTGATGGACCCAGAAACAGTGTCGTCAGATGCAATAAGTCAATAAACGTAGCTGTATGATGATCTTTATGTCTGTTATGAGTGTGTGTGTGGGGGTTTACCAGGGTTGGTGTAAAGTTGACTGTCCACAGTTTTGGCGATGCAGTGCAGTTTGACTGCTTCTAGGGGGCAGTCTGGCTGGCTGGCGGTCGGGAGGCTGCCCAGAGTCTCGCGGACAAACGTGGCCACTTCTCTGACCGTGAAAAGCTTCAGTAACTCGTTGTACACGGCGGGGAATGACTGCAGAAACACCGCCTGTGTGGGTGCAGATAAACAGTTGTAGCGGTTATACATAGTTTACAGCAGTGTTTCTCAACCACGTTCCTGGAGGCCCACCAGCACTGCATGTTATGGATGTCTCCTCTGTCTGTCACACCCATTACAGGTCTTTCAGTCTCCGCTAATGAGCTGATGATCTAAATCAGGTGTTAGTTAAGAAGGAAAATGTGCACAGCTGGTGGTCCTTCAGAAACGTGGTTGAGAAACCCTGGTTTACAGTACACTAAATAACACAACAGCAACTTTGAATATAGCATCAACTATAATACTGCAGCACAGTGGTTAGCACTGTTGCCTCACAGTAATAAGGTCACTGGTTCCAACTGGGTCAGTTTCTGTGTTGAGTTTGCATGTTCTCCCCATGTTCATGTGGGTTTAACCCACTAACCCACTGACTAAATGAATCTCAGATACTGGAAGAACATGGACAGAAGAGGGGTCAAACCCCAACACATAATCCTGCTGTGAAGACCAGCACTGAGTTTACAGAGGGGTGGGTGAGAAGCAGAGGATTATGGGGGATTAGCATGGCTGCCTTTGTTCTGCTCTCTATGAAGATTAAAATGTCCAAACCACAGTCAGTCTAACACATGGGTGATGAATCTTGTGAGATGAAAATATACTCATGCTAATAAATATATAAAGGCTCGCCGCTAAGCTTTGCTGATATCACATTTCTAGCCTAAATTGTTGCATGTTGGTAAAGACTAGCAACTAAGCTTTGGTGTTTAAAACAATTGTGTTAACAAGAATAAACACATTCCTGGCAATTACATGAGTTAGCATGCTGCTAATTTACTTAATATATATATTGCTAACATGAATTTTGCATGTATTAACATGCAGCCTCCGATATTTTTCTCATGCATCATGTGAGATAAACATATATGCATGTTATAAACAGAAAAATAAAAGACTAGTCGCTAAGCTTTGGTATTAGCGCATTTATAGCATAAACTCACTGTTACATGCTGGTAAAGACAAGCTACTAAGCTTCGGTGTTAGCGCATTTATTGTGTTAACTGTTACATGCTGGTAAAGACAAGGTACTAAGTTTGTCCTAAATCTGAAGTGATTTTGTCATGTCTGAACACATGCCTCACATGAATTGTTATAAGCTGGCATAGTTTAAAAAAAAAACATGGAATAAAATATTGCTAGCATAGAGTGAGTTAGCATGCTGCTAATATATTTGCTATATTTTGCTAACCTGAATTAGCATTTTGTTTATATTGTATCATGCATTATGTAAGATAAACACATACTTGTGCTATAAATATAATAAATAGAAGACTAGTCGCTAAGCAAGTCGCTAATTACTGAATGTTAAAGCAATTTTAACATGTTTGAACACATTTCTAGCATTAACTGTAACATCCTGGTACCATGTTTGAAATGCTAACATGAATAAACACATCGTTACCATAACATGAGTTAGCATAATACTAATATATTTAATATTTTGATAACGAATTAGCATTTTGTTAACATGTTTTTCATATTTTAGCATGTATTATTTGAGACAAACATATACTCATGTTATAAATATAGAAATTTAAGACTAGTCGCTTAGCTTTGCTGTTAACACATCCCTAGTGTGCAATGTCACATGCTGGTACAACGTTTAAAACAATGCTAATATGAGCCAACATATTGCTAGCATAACACAAATTAGCATGCTGCTAATATGTTTGATATATGTTGCTAAAATTAATTAGCATTTTTTAGCATGTTTTTAATATTTTAATTATCCATTATGTGAGGTGAACATATTCTCATGTTTTAAATATATAAATTAAACACTAAGCTAGTCTTCTAACTAAATAAAAGCCGCTAAGCTACTCCTAAATAGATAGCTGAATGCTAAAGTGATTTTGACACGCTTGAACACATTTCTGGTATGAATTGGTGCATCCTGGTAGCATTTTTTAAAACAATGCTAACATGAATCAACACATTGAGTTTGCATGATGCTAATATATTTGATATATAGCCTATTGCTAAAATTAATTAGCATTTTTAACATGCAGCTTTTAATATGTTTATCATCTGAGATAAACATACTTTCAAGTTAGAAGTATATAAATAAAGACGCTAAGCTAGTCCTAGATGTATAGCTAAATGCTAAAGGGGTTTTAACATGTTTGAACACAGCATTTCAAACATGTTTGGACATGTTCCTAGCATGAATCGTTATAAATCTAACATGAATCAACATATTGTTAGCATAACACGAGTTAACGTGATGCTAATATATTGATCATGTTTTTAGCATTCTACTGTATGTTGCCATTAACATCTTGCTAGTATTTTAACACCAGACTAACACATTCCATCAACCGCTAGTATGCATTAACATGTTTAACAAAATGCTAGCAAAAAATTACCCTTAGCACAATGTTTTACAATGCTGCTAACATGATCTAATACATTTCTAGCATGGTTTTAACACGTTTTAAAACATTAACATCTCAACACGTTGTTAGCATGTTTATACCATGTTTTATAATGCTGTTGGTATGATTTAAAACTGTATTACCACTCTCCAGGCTAGGCTATGCTAGTTACAGACAGATATCAAATGCTTTACATTTCTGCCAGATAATCAACTCCAGAGAATAATTGGTGGTTATTTTCATCATAACCAGCAAGAGTTATCGCTGCCAAGTGGATCAGACTTTATGCTAATAGTGAAAGCTGAATATTATTCCAAGAGGTTCTTGTAATCATGTAGCGCCTTCACTATCTTACTTCTTTCCCCATCTCAGTTCAATCTATTCATGCGTATCCTTTGTTTTCACTTAGCCTACAATGTTTCCTTCTCTCATTAAAACCCAAAGCATTTCTTCCTCTGTCCGTTTTCTTCTGCCTCTTTTAAAGGGGGCACACGGGCAACTCCAAGGCTCTTTGAGGAACATCAAAATAGACTGACGGCAAATTCCGAACAAAAGCCGGAGCGGCGGAAGAATAGAGCACGATCCGCATTCAGCTCAGGCGAGGAGGAAATGTTGGTGTGGAGGCTCCAAATGCTGAGCGTGAGTTTAGGAAGTGTATTCAAAACAGCCTTTGTATGAAATTCGCCTCATGAAATATGAATGATCCCACTTCTCAAAGGCAAAGCGTCTGGAGAAATTAAATTAAGGGCATTACTATGAAAAAAAAAGGGTTTCACCAATGCCACCGAGAGATTTCTGATGGCATCCTGTGGTTTTGGAGGAATCTTCAAATAAATTTGATATTTTGATAACGAATTAGCATTTTGTCAACATGTTTTTCATATTTTAACATGTATTATTTGAGACAAACATATACTTATGTTATAAATATAGAAATTTAAGACTAGTCGCTTAGCTTTGCTGTTAACACATCCCTAGTGTGCAATGTCACATGCTGGTACCACGTTTAAAACAATGCTAATATGAGCCAACATATTGCTAGCATAACACGAATTAGCATGCTGCTAATATATTTGATATGTATTGCTAAAATTATTTAGCATTTAATTAAACTAAGGGCATTACTATGAAAAAAAAAGGGTTTCGCCTGTGCCACCGAGAGATGTCTGATGGCATCCTGTGGTTTTGGAGGACGCTTCAAGCTAAAAATGACAGCGAACAATAAATCCTAACAGCAATTTCCAAGCAAGTAAAAGCAATTTGCATAATATGTTGGAATTTGTTTGGCTATTTTTATTCATTTTAAATAAAAATATTTTTAAAATAAATAACAAAATATTTTTTTTCTAACCTATTAAAATAACACTTATTTTATTAAATGATTATGGTATTAAATAGTTTTAAATGAAAATAAATTACTGGATTAAAAGAAATGAGAAATGTTGCACGCTAGACTTTGATCGGTTTACTCAAAGAGCACCAAATCACCAGGAACTCTGCTCATTTCAAGAATTAAGAACTAAGTTCGGTTTACCAGCATCATCATATTTTGTCTTCTTTCACTTACGTTTTGCTCTCAAGGCCTATGGTGTTCCTTGCGCAGCTCCTATTTCCTCTCATCCTATGTGGCATTGGATTACACCACCCTCATGTCGGCCATCTATTTCTTTAATATATAGCAAACTTAAAGGGCACCTATAGTAAAAAATCTACTTTTCAAGTTGTTTGGACAGACATATGTGTAGGTATAGTGTATAGAGCGTCATATTGGGGTGATATAAACACACCCAGTACTTTTTTTTTTTCAATTTAACAACATAAAAACAATGGACCAACTGGAGAGATTTTCAGACCGACCACAACTTGAAGTAGAAGTGCTGTCTCCCCGCCCACTGAATTGATTGACAGCTGCGTATTAACATGTCTCTGTAGTAACGCGTATAATCATATCAACAAGACAGGACGTGCGCAAAGCAACCAGGAAAAGTTCTGTTCAGTTTGCTAGGATCATTAATCATCATCAAATGTGATCAAGAGTGAGTTTTACAAGTTTGAAATGTTTTAAAACAGTGGATGTGTGTAATGAATTACAGCGATATTACTGTCTTTATTACCACAGCTGCGTGTCAAAAAAATAACTGAAACCTGACTAACTTCATAAAATAAGTTAAAGTAACATAAAAGTCATGACATATTTAGTGTACTTTAATTATATGTAGACTGTAATTTAGTATTCTATTAGCATTTAGTATCATAATATTAGTATTGCAAGTATTTAATATCTTGAGTATAAAATTTCCTCTAGAAATACTCCTTAGCATCGTTTCGTTTATATCTACAGTATACACACTTACAGATTCTCAAAGTATAATAGTTCAGCCAAAGTTGTTTTATTTGTCTAGTTTTTCAGCTCTCCATTTCGGAAATGATTAAGGTTGCTTTCACACTAGCACTTTTGGCCCGCACCCAGGTTTGTTTGACATCAAAGTACGTTACATTTAGCTAAATTTACATTTAGTGTAAAATTAACTCTAGAAATACTCCACAATGCAACGTTGAGCATCGTTTCATTTATATCTACAGTATGCATGTGATGTATACTAATGATAAAATAAATATGAGTCCCCTGATCTGCGCTGATAAATGCAATTTCTGACTGATTCATACGATTTCAATCTTTTTAATAGTAAAAATGGCTGTATTTTGCATATGTCTCGTTCAATTACAGCGTAGGAAGCGAGCTGAGGAAGCACCGAGCTGTGCATCACATCATATTGCGCAACACCCTGCACACTGGCTTGAGCGTGTGCCTGGTATGCATTCCCACACTCAAACACTGCGGCCAATTTAGTTAATCCAATTCACCTATAGCACATGTCTTTGGATTGTGGGGGAAATTGGAGCACCCAGAGGAAACCCACGTGAACATGGGGAGAACATGCAAGCTCAACACAGAAATGTCAACTGGTCCAGCCGGCACTGAAACCAGCAACCTTCTGGCTGTTAGATGACCACTGAGCCACTGTGCAACCCCATAATTGAACTTTTTCTTTCTTTAATGTAATGCATTATAGGAATGCATCTCTCTCTTTCCCTCTCACCTGCGTGTGTGTGATGGGCCTCATGCTCTTGTTCTCCTGTGAGAGGAAGAAGCGGATGGACATGAAGAGCTCATGCATACAGCAGCGAAACTCCTCCTCATTCTGTCCGCCTGTGGCCAGCGCAAACAGCCTCCGGGACTGGACGATATACTTAAAAATATACTCTGTTGCCTTGAGAGAGAGAAAAAAACAGCAGATCTGAGCACAGACAGCAACATAAAAATGCAATAACATATACAGTCAGAATTATTAGCCCCCAATTTCTAATCCTAATAGTTTTAATAACTCATCTCTAATAACTGATTTATTTTATCTTTGCCATGATGACAGCAAATAATATTCGACTAGATATTTTACAGGATAGATGTATTCGGCTTAAAGTGACATTTAAAGGCTTAACTAGGTTAATTAGGCAAGTGTGGGTAATTAGGCAGGGCTTTGGTTTGTATTGTAGACAATCGAAAAAGAACATTGCTTAAGGGCGCTAATGATATTGACCTTAAAATGGTTTTAAAAAATGTTAAATATTATAGGACATACTTTGAAAACTCCCATTAAACATCTTATAGAAAATATTTAAAAAAATAAATTATTTAAAAATTCACAGGAGGGCAAATAATTTCGACTTTAACTGTAGGATGTGTGAAATAATGTAATGTGGAAGTCATTATGCATTCTTCACATATTGAATACTTTATGAATACAAATTGCATTTGCGGCACAAAATGTAAGAGACGGAGGAGCTTTGATGACTGTATATGTCATTTTGAGCTGTAGGATGGGTAGAATTAATGATAAAAGCTCACCTTTAGCACCTGTTGGATGTGTTCCTGACGGTCCGCATCAATAATGCGGTCCACGTACCACTTCAACACCTTGATCAGATCCCTGCCAGACAATACAATATCTAGGTTGGCAATTAAATTAAATTAAATTAAATTAAATTAAATTAAATTAAATTAAATTAAATTAAATTAAATTAAATTAAATTAAATTAAATTAAATTAAATTAGGCACAATCGCCTTATAGCAAGAAAGCCTCACAGCAAGAAGGTGAATTGGGTAAGCTAAATTGGCTGTAGTGTATGTGTGTGATTCAGTGTGTATGGGTGTTTCCCAGTGATGGGTTGCAGCTGGAAGGGCATCAGCTGTGCAAAACATGTGCTGGATAAGTTGGCGGTTCATTCCGCTGTGGCGAACCCAGATTAATAAAGGGACTAAGCCGAAAAGAAAATGAATGAATGAATGAATGGATAAAATAAATTAAAATTAAATTAGTTACAATAAAATAAATTACAATTTTTATTTATTTAATTAAAACTATTGAAATAAGAACAAAAAATACCACCTCTACAAATATATAAAACAAAACAACAATATCTAGGTCGGTAAAAATACCAACTTTGAGAGAAATGCAATAAATAAATTTGAATTAATATTAAATACATTAAAATAAACATTAACATTTCATTTCTACACCACCTCTACAAATAAAATAAAACATAATACTGGTTTAATATATATTTAATACAGTACAATACAATTTAACAGTTAATAAAAAATACCTTTTTAATTGGATTAAATACATTTATTTTATTCCGTTATTTTTATATGAGAAAGAGAGGAATGAGGAGCAAATGTGCAGCCACTATCTGCAAATCATAAATATATTTAAAGTGTATTATTTGTGTTACTCATGTAGTTCTGCAAATAAATTGTGGGTTTTTAAAAATAAATTTATGGATATTAAATATAAGTGTCTGTGTGCAAAGAATGATTGAAAGCAGAAGCAGCATGACAATCGAATGTTGCAATCAGGAACCAATTCTTATCTTTTACATTACAATCATCCAGCACACATTTTCATTCAGAACTTTTTTAAGGTATTTTAAGCAACTTCATTATGCAGCAAGAAAATAAAAGAGAGTTTTTAATCATGGCACATCGCAATAGCTCACATATTGCAACAGATAAAAAGAAGTATTGCGATATGATCAGACGGTGGAATCCCTGTTGATTTCTGCCATGATTTCTTAGCATTGCATTGAGCAGCTGAAAGAAAATGAAACTTGCTGCACCGAAAGAAGCCAGAGAGAAAAGTTTCTGTGCAGCTTTTTTAATGTTCTGCACGAATGCGGATTGTGCTCTCTAAAAGCCTAAAAATCTCAACAAAAGGAGAACTGAAAGAACAGAACGGAAGAGCCTATAAAAGAAAGAGCATGATGCAATGCATTTGCACCAGTGAGCAAGAATAACTAGAACCTAAAAGATGCATTTAAAGAGCCCATGAAGTTGCAGCTTTGTACATTTCACTTCATGTCTGTCAATGTTTTGCTGATACACAGTATTTTCTTTTTTAACTTTTGATTTTTTGGACTGTGTATTTTAATCTGTCCAGTTTTAAAGTTAACTGGTTGTGTAATATGCCCATTTGAGCAGTGTGTGGGCTGTAATGCGGGCTGATCTCTGACCCTGATGAATCAACATGCAATGAAATTAAGTGTTGTTTGAGAGAAGAATCAGTGCTGTACTTGTTTTTAAGAGTGAGTGCTTTCAGTTTTTAAAGCCTTGATCCATTTTTAATGTATAAAATATTCACCATTACATTAAAAAAAAAAAATTAACAAAGTGCCATTCGTAATAAAATAAATCAAAATTAAACAAAAAAGCATGACAAAAAATGCCTGACAACATTTGCATATATATATATATATATATATATATACATTATAAATATAAAAATAATATAAAACAAAACACTAAATACAAAATAAAATAAAATAAAAATAAAATATTCAATAAAACGAAATATAAAAAATACAAAATAAAATGCAAACAAATAAATAAAATACAATGAAGTGTAAAATAAAGTTAATAAAAAACAATATGGAAAAAAATAAAATATAAAAAAAATTATATAAATATAAAAACAAAATAAAGTAAATAAAAAACAAAATAAAATAAAATATAAAAAAATACATATAAAAATAATATAAAATAAAAAAACTAAATTAAATAAAATATAAAATATAAACATTTAATTACATATAAAAATTTAAATATAAAATAAAATAAAAAAATATATTAAATAAAAAATTAAATAAAATATAAAATAATATAAAAAGTAAATAATAAAACAAAATGAAATATAATATCAAAAATATTCAATATAAAAAATTTAAAAATACAAAATAAAACAAACAAGATTTATTAAATAAAATATAAAATAAAACAATATGAAATAAAGTAAATAAAAAACAAAAAAAAAACATTATAAAAAACATTAAATATAAAAGTTAAAATAAACAAAATAAAAACAATAAAAAAAAAAAACGGACAGTCATATTTTGCTTCTATAAGTTATATACAGATTTTGGAAAATGTGTTGCAAAGTGAGTGACAGCTTAACGCTTGTGAATTGAGGACCATTTTTAGCATACCTGTATGACAGGGCTCCAGCAAAGTGGCTTTCGATGTAGGTGTCCATGACTGGTTTAAAATGCTGAAACTTGCTATCCTGAAGCAAGTTTATAATGTGCACCTGCATGACAACAATGAATACATAAAGACAATAAGCAAATGTGACTTCATTGCACTTCATTATGTCAAAACCACAGATCTGTACGTACCAGACAATCAAACACCTTGAGTGCATATCTCTGCGAGCTCTCATCTAAAATGCCGAAAAGAGTATCCAGTGTATCCTGCAAAAACTGATATAGCAGTTGATTTTATTACCAAGTGTATGAAATTGAGGCTCTCATGACTGACATGCTCATTAACCAACAGAAAGCTGACCTTCACTATTTCAGAGCCATCGATCTCTTTGAGTTTGGACAGACTGTCACTGATTCTCTCTGGATGAGCTCTCCATTTCAGTAAATCCAGCATGTCACCTGAAAAAAAAAAAAAAAAGACAATCAGTGCACATTTTTTGTTGAGACTTGTACAAAAAGCTGCATGCAGACTGCCCTAATGTATCCATTTATATCTGCTATTATGCAAAGGAGACTTCCAGCATGGGAATAATAAAGGTCTGTTGTTTTAGTTGTCTAGCTTTTCAGCTCTCCATTTCGGAAATGATTAAGGGTGCTTTCACACTAGCACTTTTGGTCCGCACTTAGGTTTGTTTGACAACAAAGTACGATACATTTAGCTAGTGTGAACGATGTCTTCTGATCTTAGGTGCACAGTCATGAACTGTTCACGAGTCCGCCTAAAAGAGATGCTCTGGGGTACGATTCGTGCAAACTCTAGTACGGTTCACTTCTGATATGAATGCAATCGTACCTAGGGATGGGCAGCAATTGAAACAAGTATTTCAAATACATATTTTAAATACAAAATAGTATTTTGTAATTTGTATTCGATAGGGTTTATAAAAATGGGTGAATATTTTGTATTAAAAAACTTAATATTCTTGTATTTTTGTATTTTAAAAATACTCTAAGATACTTCGTAAGAAGTCTATATGATGACATCTTAAAAATGCGACATCAGATTGATAACAGAAAATTGATTATGAAGGTGGTCAACGCTTGTAGCATGAATGGAAGTTATGCATCTTTGCTTAAGAAATGAGATGGAATAAAATATCAGTCCTTAAGAACAGGATGTGGAGCCTTCAGCACATAATCATTCTCAGTCTCAGTGCTGCAGGTGGAAATGCAGATGAACTCTAGAATAATAAAACACCTTGCTAGATGCTGTGCTGGTGTTCACTAAGGGTGTAAAACTGAGAATCTTCCAGTTGAAGCAGAGCTCAAAAAACCTTGAGCGAATGAGTAAACCGCACAAATAATAGTAGTTTTGCTGATGTAGATGCCAAGAAAATAAGACAAACAACATTAAAACAAGTCCTACAGCAGCTGACTAAAATGCACACACCACTTGCACACTCACACACACCACATGTGCCCACACAACATGACATGAGCATACATATGATGCACACACACATTACGCAACACACAGAACACGTGCACATAAACTACATTCAAACAAACACATGCAACACACACACACACACCGTTCTGAGTGAGTTTGGTGGAACAGAGGAATGATGTGATCCACAGGGACTCTTTAGTGCCTTTCACAGTTTGGTTGTTGCCGGGCAGGTTTGATTTGGAGAAGGGCAGTTTGAGGTAGCGAGAGCAGTCTTGCAGGTTAGCGTTCTCCTCACACTGGAAAACATGGAACAAAAACAAAATAACAGCGTCAAGCTTTTCATCTTTTTTTCCAGCTGTGGCAGTAAATCGGTCAGAAGACAAAAGTTAATGGAAAACTAAACAGAATAAATAAAAATGAGCCAAACCCCTTATAATTAAACAAATAAATCCAATAAATGTTTTATTTTTAATTCATAATTGCAGAGCTTAAAATAAATATTTATTAACACATGAATAAGTAGTTTTTTCATACACTGATTAAAATGTATTCTTTATTCTGTAACTTTGTAAAATTATCATTTACTTTCGCGTTCTTTACATTTTAAAGGTCCGTACTGGCCCAATAACCCCACACGTGGTTCTGTTCTCTGTTAGAATAGAATACCTTTTGCATAGATCATAGAGACGTTTTTCTTTTTTCTCTGATTACTGACATGAACCAACAACAACATTCATTACAGCAACCGAGACCACACAGAACCTAAATGGGAGACTTTCAAATTTGAGTAAAAAAAAGCCTTTTTTGGAGGGGTTTATAATATCACAAACAACATATACAATTATTTTAAACAAATATCAACTGTGTTTTATGAAGATCTAAAGGGCTTTCTTTAAAAATAATACCAAACTTTTGCATTCACACCTCATGTGCATTGTGGATTTGGGATGCTTTTGAATTTGGGTAGGCAAAATCCAGGCAGAAACCCCAAAATAGCACTTGACTTTAAGAAGTTAATATACATTACTTATATAACTCAATTTATTAAAATATCAAAGTCTAACAAATGACTTATAAAAGTATATTTTTAACCAAGATTTTCAGAAGCATCCATATGTTATTCAGTATATAACTTTATATACTAAAAATGAATATGAATATTGATAGATTATGTGCATTTTAGTTCAGTTGCATTTACATTGATTAAACTCTGATGTGATAAGATGGGGTTACCTGTGCCTCAACCCTCACAAACTGAACTAAATGAACCTTTTACAATCTCAATGGTATTAGCAAAACAACAGCTGAAACATCTGAAGAGGGTCCTGCTGAGCCTCGTAAACAGAATGGTTTGTTTGATGCTAGTATAAAGTACTGTCTCACAGACAGTACTTTGAGTTAGGTTACTTGAAGGCCGATGGGTTAACATCACTGCTGAGGAACTGCACTATTGATTGTCTTCAATAAAGTCTTCTCTCCGTAAGAACTTTGGTCAGCTTACTTATTTTATGTATTAGAGTAATCTAATACATTGGCGAGCCACCCAAGAACGGTTAAGCCAAATACAGCAAAATCTAACAATATTTAAAACAAGAATCTTTAAATGTATAATATGTTTAATATATTAAAGCAGCCCCAAAATAATCGTCTTTATCATTTATGTTTTCCCACTGACTTTCTAGTTGTTTGAAAGAGAGGTTGTCAACCAAGAGGTTTTCAGTATATTTAATATATTAATTTGACCACAAACTGACATTATTTCAATAATATTTTGCTATCAAAGCTATTTTAAAACATTAATCTCGATCATTTTACACTGTATTTTACAATGCAACTTTTTTTTTTTGAATGAACTTAACTTTTCTAGTAAGATCATCAATGAAATGGACTAAAAATGGACTAACATCAATGAAACTGGCTAGAAATGGTCTAACATCAATGAAATGGACTAGAGATGGACTAACATCAATGAAACGGGCTAGAAATGGTCTAACATCAATGAAATGGACTAGAGATGGACTAACATCAATGAAACTGGCTAGAAATGGTCTAACATCAATGAAATGGACTATAGATGGACTAACATCAATGAAACGGGCTAGAAATGGTCTAACATCAATGAAATGGACTAGAGATGGACTAACATCAATGAAACGGGCTAGAAATGGTCTAACATCAATGAAATGGACTAGAGATGGACTAACATCAATGAAACGGGCTAGAAATGGTCTAACATCAATGAAATGGACTATAGATGGACTAACATCAATGAAACGGGCTAGAAATGGTCTAACATCAATGAAATGGACTATAGATGGACTAACATCAATGAAACGGGCTAGAAATGGTCTAACATCAATGAAATGGACTAGAGATGGACTAACATCAATGAAATGGACTAGAGATGGACTAACATCAATGAAATGGACTAGAGATGGACTAACATCAATGAAACGGGCTAGAAATGGTCTAACATCAATGGAATGGACTAGAGATGGACTAACATCAATGAAATTGACTAAACAATATGAAGGCAAACTTTGTAAAAATACAAAAATAACTAAAAACTTGACTAAGTTAATAAAATAAGTTATAGTAACAAAAAGTCAAGACATATTTAGTGCACTTTAATTATATGTAGACTGTAATTTAGTATTCTATTAATATTTAATATTATAACATCAGTATTACAAGTGTTTATTATCTTGTGTATAAAATTACCTCTAGAAATACTCCACAATGCAACATTTAGCATTGTTTCATTTACATCTACAGTATACACACTTACTCAAAAGTATAATAGTTCACCCAAATGCTATAATTCAGTGAAGCACTTTTATTTGGCTTTTCTGAGAAGGCAAAATGGCATTGCAATAGAAGTACGCGAAATAAGCACAGATTAGTGTTATTTCTGCTTGAACTCGTCCTTTAATTAGCATCGTGAAATCTCTCTGCATTCAGTCAGCACTTCTTTTGCCTGCAGCACAAATGCAAACAGCTGACTTCTGGGTTTTTGTTTTCTATATATCGTTTATCTCACTCAAAATTGGCTCGTCGTCAGAGGTCAGCAGATGTGTGTGTGTAAATGCACAATGAACGCATGCTGTACATGACCAGTGACACGGCGCAGCGCAGCATTACTGGATGCAGTGACGTGTGTGTAAATGCGCAAGCAAACCGCCCTATTTCAGCATCTGTAAATAGGCCATGAGAAGCACTTAGCATCATATTGGATGTACTGTATATAGGCTAAGCTTTCGTGATGCTGTGATTTTACATGTACTAATAGAAGTCATTTTAAGAGTTATTTTAAATGCATCTATTGTGTTATTTCAGATGTTAATACTAATTTTGCAATATGTTTACATGCATTAAAGGTGTAAACTTTACTAATGTTATATATTGAAGCCAATGCTCTCATTTTTCGACCCACAAGCATGGCAAAATCTGTGCTTTTTTGCATTTGTGATTTATTTTAAACAAATAATATTTTAAAAGAATAAAAAATGCCCTCATAAATTTTAAAACTTTAAAATGTGTTTGGTTTTATAATTATGCAGCCATTAGCTGTAGTTTAAATCCTCTCTCACTCTCTATTCTCTCCTTATCATGCAAAACTGGAAATATATGTACTGTTTTACTTGATGTTTTTGCAATCTACCAAAACTATTACTTTCCATTGATGTCTGTGAGAAAGAGATGCAGATATGAATAAATAACAAAATAAATAAATAAATAAATAAATAAATAGATAAATTAATTCATAAATAATTAAAGAGATAAATTAATTAATTATAAATAATAGATATTTAAATAAATAGATAAATAAAATAAAAATTATTTAAAAGTAAAATAACATTTTTTTTATTTAATAAATGGATAATTAAAAAAATAAAAAATAAAAAGATAAACAAATCAATAGAATAAATAAATAAGCAAATAAATAAATGAATTAATGAATAAATAAATAGATGAATAAATAAAAAATGTATAAAAAACAAATAAATAGAAAAATAAATAAATAAATAAATAGATTAATTAATTAATTAATTAACTAAAATTAAATATAAAATATATCATATCAAATCAAAAATAAAATTTAAGTTTATATTAAATAAAATAATAATGACATATCAAATTAAATCAATTATAAAATAATGTATGAGATAAAATGTTAAATAAAAAACTTAATAAAAATATAGAATATTACAGTAAAATAATAACAAAATAAAATAAATTTAAAATGAAATAAAAACAAAATTGAATTAAATAAAACAAACAACAAACAGCATTGTTTCACATGCATGTACATGTTTATGAAATAACCAAATAGGACTATTGTTTTTTTTTAAGTGATGTTTCAGTGCCATTTTCATATGTAAATGCACTTCTAAGCTTACTTACAATTATAATGCAGGTTTTTAATTCCTTAAGCATAGGCTTCTTTATTGAACCCATGTTTATACCAACTATAAATGGAGTATGAAGGCTGACAGCACAACACGACACCAATAACAGCAGCTCTCTGCATGCGTGTTTGTGACCTCTTTTAAGCCAGTACAGTCCACAAACACTTCCACAGTCTGCAATTACCCGAGCTGTGCTCTTAAATTGGGTGTGCCTCAGGGACGTGTACAGCCGACACGCTTATTTAACTCTTACACTTTTTAATAAGAGGCCGTGTTTTGCATTCAGGGCGCTTCACAAGGCACAAAAGGCGCATGTAGAATGAAATGCGTGTCAGCCAAGACCATTTGTCATTTGATATACTGTACTGCGGCTCTTGAGTGGACTTTGTTGCGGGAAAGCCAATCTGAGGTTTTGACAATTTGACAATTTTTGACAATAAGGTTTTCACCTTATGTACAATGAGTTCGTGTGTCCCGTCAGGTAAAGTTCGTCCGTCTTCCTGCATCAGAGGGACGAATGAGAATCCAAACAGCTTCTTTTCTCCTTTGTCTTTTGCTGGGGAACACAAACAGCATATTGAAATCTTGAATTTAATATTGAAAAGCATAAACAAATAGACTCTTTATTTTTAAAAAAAGCTTACAGAAGTAACATTTGAATCAAAACATGGTCATTCAGCTATCTTTCTGGTGCTTCCATGCCTTTTTCCTGATAGTCTCATCAATTTTTCCTCTAATGAATTTCATTACAAGAAATCGCAAATCACTTTCACCTACATTTTACCACATTTTACTCCATTCCTATACAGCTTTAAGCTATTTTAAGTTTGATTTTGACTTGTGAGCATATACCACAGGGTTCAAGAGCCACAGAAATCATTACTCAAAATAAATCTGGTCTCTCGACCCAATAGCAAAACCAGCACCGCGGCTTTAAAAGAAAATGATTTGGGGTGTTTTAGCCTACATGAAGCCTACACAACATCAGAACACAGCTCTGACTCAAGCACACACCAACATACGCTCGACTCGGATGCCTTTCCTCAAAACATTGGCCCATTTTTAACAAAAAACACCCCTTGGTGATCTTTAATTACACTTGTCCGTATAAAGGAGTCATTAGTGATGCTCTGACTCACTGCTATTTCTCCAGCACTTTCAGCATTCGTTTGAAATTCAGACAATTTAATGTCCTCCCTCAAGCTCTGAGTCTACCAACATGTGGAAAATACGGTCTTGCTTCAGTCGTGTTTTATGTAAGGAATAACTGATGATGGGTTGTTGTAATTAATAGATGATAATGTACACCCGAGGTGCTGATGCGAAGCGGAGTGGCTGTTACACCTCGGGTGACCATTATTTTCTAATAAATCAACAAACTTGAGAGAAATCATTGCACTTTGTCCGTTGTAGGCTATGAATTCTTAAATAACAGACAAAAACTAGACAAATGTCTTGAAATACAACGTCTAAACAACGTGTAATATGTAGTAGTTTTGAAAAAATTGACTCCAGTGCACTGAAATAATAAAAAAAATGTGTTGAAATGTCACACACAATGGTATTTAAACCAAGCGGCAACCTCCCGCTCTCCCTCAGGAAGCCAATACGGAAGTAACTAAAACTGCAATTCATCCGAAATTCCGCTAGTCCTGGCCGCTCCTGGCTCCAAAATAGAGCAAATTTCAATTGAGCCCACTGTTAAAATGGCCCACTTTACAGCAGAAAAAAAGGTGTTTACAGCATGGTACAAAAAAAGATTTTGGTTAATACAACTAATATTACCCTTCATGACAACTGTGAGGGGGGTGAATTTTTTTATAACTCATCCGTTTCCTTTTTATTAAGTTTGCATAATTAAGGGAGTGGCCACTTGAGTGACAGCTAGGTCTCGTTGGTCGCCGTCACGTCACCTCAGCTGAATCCTGCAGATTAGCCACTGAACTAGGCATATTTATCGTATTTTTGTGTTGTTTTATGTGGTTTTACACAGTCAACTGCCTTTTGGACTTGTTTCCTACAATTATTAGATGGCATCCTGAGTGCACTTAATTGTGCTCACAAACCATTCACGTGGCCTCCGTTTCCCATGTGAGTAAAGTTATATACCATCTCTACACATGTATTTGTTTTATTTAAGATCATTTATCGTTTTTATTTATATTTAGAGCTGTAATGCACTCCAGAATCTGACGAACTGATTAGCTGTAGGCTCTAGAACAGTCATCTGAAGCGTTGTCATACAATGTTATACTGGATTTCTTCAATAGTCTTACATTAACTAACACAGACTATATCTCAAGTGTTTGGATGTAATTCGCGTTTTCCTCCTGTTGAAAAACATCATAAGAACAATGTTTAGTGGCTCAATGTATTACAGCAGTGTTTTTAAAAGACTAAACAATTTATTGATATAGTGTACAACCAAGCACAAGTGGTCAGAACACAAACGAGTCACAGGTGATAAAGTATTAAAACGTTCTCCCAAAGTAAAGTGTGTCTGAACCAGGTCCAAGCAAAATGCCAGCAGGTGTCCGTAGCTCCGCCCACTCTCCGCCTCTTTGCCCATGTTTGGTATCCCGCCGTGGGTGTGATTACGCGCTAACAAAATGACGACGGTTGGCCGCGCCTACTTGTGGCTTCTTTTGCGCTCTTTAGAAACCTATGGGTGACGTCACGGATACTACGTCCATATATTTTACAGTCCATGATTTAAACCCACTGAAGACTGAATAAAGCACATAATCTGTACCTGAGGTGATCATTGTCATAGTAGTGTTGTTCTTTTGTGACTTTGCAGAAAACAAAGCATTTATAAAATTACATTTTTGTGCAGTAGCAGTTGCTTAGGACAAAACTCTTTTTGACTATGGCTTGTTTAATTGATTGACAATAAGTTTTTAATAATTCAACAGACTGGAATGGATTCGAATATGCTGTGGTCATCACAACTAAATACATTGTACAGATAATGTATTAAAAAAAAACAGTCAGATGTTTGTCTTCAAACTGCTATGTGTAGGACTAGCAAAGAGCATAGAAAGGCGACACTCTAGTGCGATTTGGGAAACAGCCGCTAGATGCTGCTAGTGTCACACGGCGACCATTTTGGAATGAAAATTCCAATAGAACAACAGCATATTATAAGTCTGTATAACAAACTATAAAAAGGGCTGATGATTGTGATAGTAAGTGTTGTATTGTTGCATTTCAGGTTGTGCTTTCTAAATAAATAAATATAAAACAATGCAGTGTCTTGCCATCGGGACAGCATTAAGATCCAATAGCCGACCGCTTTCACTCCAAAATGGCGGAATCGCGGGGCTGTTGCTGGGCGCTGCAATGGAACGTTCTATTGAGTGTCGCCTCTTGGTGATTCTAAGCTCTTTGGGACTAGTTTCTTACACATCTCAACCTTTAGATTTGTATTATGTCTGCTGTAGGCTGTTTACTTTGAAATAAAATTACATCCTTGGCACAGTGCTATGAAACTGAAAATGAGGTCACACATTGCTCTCGCCATGACATGTCACCGTGCTTTCTAAAATTGTAAACATTGCTTTCCATGAAGATGCATAGACTGCAATTAGACATCTTTGTGTTACTCATTACAAATAATCAAAGTATGTATGAAGCAAAAATTGTGACAGTTTTCCAGAAAAATGGAATATTAAATGACTTGTTTTTTCGACTAGGAGGTTGATTGTATGTAGTAAAGTAGGCATCTCATTCAGAAAGATCTGAATAAGGGTCTAGAGAGAGTTATAACCTAACGGACACCTCCTGCTCACCATTTTTACTTGTTGTTAAAACTGACAGATGGAGGAGTGTGGTTAAGTATGTTAGCCACGCCCAATACCTCAGATAACTTAGATAAATTAACTGAAAACAATCAGGACGTGCATTTTCAGATTTCAATTTTAGATTACAAGTGCAAACTATTTTTTTTTTCTTAATGACATGCGCAGATAAAATGCTCACCAGAAAACTAACAAAGTGAGCTAACAAAATCATTTTAGATTTGATTGCATGTGTACTTTAAACACCGTCTGGTGTTCGACCAGTTTAATAGGCTCAAGATCTGTCTGGAACTACTTTAGTTGCATCTGAAAACAACTGCACGCCTTAAAATGTTCATCAACCAATCAGAATCAAGCATTCAACATCCTGTAGTATGAGTGAATGTTAAAAACATCAGTCTGTTGTTTGTTACTCACTGGAACAATGGCGAAACTCAAAGCGGACGTGAGAACCTCGAAACATGTCGACAGGGATCGGCAGTTTGATTTGCTCTGCCCATCGAGGGCTGTTGTTGTGGTAAAGCACGAAGGTGTGATATTCGTCTCCACCCGGCTCACCCGAACCCACGGCCACAAAGCCCTGCAGACACAAAGAAGAGAGAATCAACACTGTGTTAAAGGACACGGAAAACCACAAACCTCTTTCCGCTCCATCTCCTTGCCTGTTTAGATCAGCCAATAGTATATGATAGACTTGAATTATCTTTAGTGTCAGTTTATATCACCTCTTTTGTACAAGAACAGAACTTTGCATTGACTGCCCAGCATGTATGTTCAATAAGATTCAATCAAATGATTAAATTTGTTTTGATGAAGAGGAAGTCTGAACATCAGAAGAATAAAATACTGTTTTATAAGCATAAAGACACTGTTTTTATGCACCTTTATTTTTATTTTTTTTTATCTAATTCAAAGAAAACATCTGTCGCACTTTGTCAATTTGTGTCTGCAAATTTCTATTACACTACATGCTCTTAAAGGCCATTTCTTCAAAATGACTGTTTTCGGTCCCACTTTATATTAAGTGGCCTTAACTAATATGTACTTACACAGGAACTAATAGTTTGTTACAATGTACTTGTTGTGTAAATACATGTATTTACTGTGTACTTATGCTTGATTAAATACATGTATGCATTTACATCTGTAATTAACTTTTGTAACTACATTTGTAAATACACTGTTGACCGTCCCTTACACCTTAACCCACCCTTAAACCTACCCATACTACCAAACCTGTCCATAACCCAACCCCTATCCCAACTCAAAAGCACCACAAGTGTTCTCAAATACATTATGAACACAATAAGTACATTGTATATTGTACATTGCGATATTTTGTCTTGCTTTGATATATATTGCAATATGAAAAGAATTGAATAGCTCTATTTGACAAGATTTAAATAATTGGGATAAACTGGAGTAATAAAGTCTTTTTTTTAAGAAGTGCGTCTGCATAATTACGATCATACGACAGAGCATAGTTTACTGTGGAGACGAAGAGTATTTAAATACAACAATGTAAAAATCAAATGTAAAAGTATCATGGTCATTGTTGTATAAATATTCTTAAACACTATTATAAAATAATATCTTTATATTTAATAAATAATCTAATCTAATCCAGATACATACATTGCGATTCAGCCCCTGTTGAGACCTATCATTGAATTTAAAGGAAAGTGGACACAAACCTTTAGAATCTGTCCGTCTGCATCCAGTGCGTAGATGGTGATCTCCACGTTTCTCGCCACACTCTTGCCACCCTTCTCGAACTCGCCTTTCTCCAGTGTCATGTACAGATCGTTTCGCATCTCACCTTCAAGAGAACAAAATACAGTACATGAGAAAAAGGAGTTTTATATCGATACAACCTCTTGAACCATCTCTGTGTAGATGGCAGCTGTAAACCTAGTGATAAATGAAAAATAATATGTAAAATATAGTGTCAATTATGTCTTTAACAATATAAAAAGACTATTATTATATTAAAACTATTATATATAAAATCATATATAAAAATAGTATTTAAAACATACAAGCATACATATATATTTATATATACTTTTTATGCAAATTCATAAAAATATGTTAATGTTAATATTTTGCAATGTTACTTATTTGGGGTAAGGGGAGAATCATATTAAACAGCGTTTGCATGTGTGTTGTTTAAAAAAAAACTAAAACATATAAAACCAATGTGCTATCTTCATTTAAAAATAAACAGGTTCATAACACACATTTTTCCAGGTAACTAAGAGTTAAAAATATGTTAAAGGTCCTGTGAAATGCTTTGAAATGTAAATTTTCACACTGTCAATGTTTCAATTATGCAATCTCAAACTAAATATCAAGAGGGGGTGGGACATTGTATGGCTCCTATTTTTAAACCCAGCCAATAGTGTTTTGTATTATCACCCCTCTGCTAGAAAGAGGTTGAGATCAAGCCTATCAAATGAGAAGCATCCTGAAGGGGCAAGGCATGTCTAATACTACTACTACTACTACTACTACTACTACTACTACTAATAATAATAATAATAATAATAATAATAATAATAACTCCTTAAATTTATATAGCACTTTTCTAGACACTCAAAGCGCTATACACATTGGGGGAATCTCCTTATCCACCACCAGTGGGCAGCATCCACCTTGATGACGTGACGGCAGCCATATTGCGCTAGACCGCACACCAAACACCAACTGATTGGTGGAGAGCTGACAGCGTGATTAAGCCAATTCTGATATGGGAATGGTTAGGAGGCCATGATGAACAGAGGCCAGTGGGCAAATTTGGCCAGCTTGCCGGCTCTTTTTCGAAGGACATCCTGGGATATTTAACGACCGCAGAGAGTCAGGACCTTGGTTTAACATCTCATCCAAAAGAGCAGTATAGAGTCCCCTTCACTATACTGGGGCATTAGGACCCAATTAAACCGCAGGTTGAGCGCCTCCTGCTGGCCTCACTAACACCACTTCCGGCAGTAACCTAGCTTTCCCATGTGGTCTCTCATCCAGGTACTGACCGGGCACAGCCCTGCTTAGCTCCAGCTAGCTGCTGGCTATACTAGAGAGGTTTCGATTGGTCAAGATTTGATGAGAAACTGCCGATTTGAGGTGAAGTGAATAAAATCTTTGATCCATTTAGGCGGAAATGACAAACTACAAGCACAAGTGCAATTTGGTCTCTGTTTAGATGAGAACTAGCTTATAGATATCTTAAATATGATCTTGAATCACCTCTAAACTTGGATCGAACCTGCAAACAAACTGCCATCCAGATCCTACATCAACATTTGCTCTAAGAGTGCATTTCCAGCATGGATTTTCAATGTTAAAATGAAACAATGAGTCCCAATGGACGCCTTTGCATGGACAGTATAAAATCGAATATGTTTTGACAATGTTCATTGATTTTCACATTGTTTGCTCAGCAGAAAAAAAACCCCACAGACATAGATTAAATCTCAAGTGTTTCAGTAATGAACTCTTCTCTCGAGCTGCATGATTTTGGAGAATAATTTGCTGAAGGTTTATTACTGTAATGCTTTAAATGTTAGTATCATTATGACAGGAGAGCACAAACACACTAATATGAAGAGGTCATCCTTCTTAAATGTCCCCAGCAGGTGCATCCTGCAACTCACATTAAGACCAAGTAAAAAATGAGCGCCAAAATGAGCGTCACCTTTTCAACCAGACAGGAAATGCACAAGACATGCATCAACACCAACACCACAGATGATACAAATGCACATTTCACACTAAAATTAAATTTAGCACAGCCGCATTTTCTCATTGATACTCATTTGGCTTTATTTGTGCACATGGACTGCAGAAAATGCTTGTCCCACGCAGGGGGTTCTGTAAGTGAACTCTGGGTCACATTTTTAAAAGCAAAAAAGGGGACAAATAACACTCGAGTGCAGAGCGGAAGAAGTGTGGGTTCCTGAGTATTTATGTAATGCCGATTTCAAGAGCGTTTTGCCTTTGATGAAGTGTGAAATGTGGATGTCGGCAGAGTTTCAATGACTAAAGTGCAGATCAATAGAGTGATTGTCCATTTCAAACTAAAGGTTCAGATGGTTTAAAGGTTCAAAGGTTCTGCACTACGTGTAACAAGAAGTCTGTAATTTCAGTCTCATCCCTGCACAAGAATTTTTGTTTGTTTATTTATTGTCACATCAGCAATTTACTGCTATTTCATGGCAAGATCGATGTTCATAAAAACATTGCATGATATTATTACATGAAGTTCATATTTCAATAAGAGATGATAATTCCTTCATTCTCCTTTGGCTTAGTCCCTTATTTATTAGGGGTCGACAACTACTCCACCTTTTTTTTACACAGTAGATGCCCTTCAAGCTGTAACCCAGTACTGGAAAACACCTATAAACTCTCGCACTCATACATCATGGCCAATTTTGTTTACCTATATCACCTATTCACCTTATTCTTCGCAGACGAGCGGGCGCAGCCATTTAATTCTTTTTTGGCTTGAGACTTCCGGTCTCATTCAATTCCATTTATTTTTAGACATTAAAAACTGATCGTTTCGCTGTTTGATGTTGCAAACTGATATTTCCTTATTATATTATTCTACTTGGTCTATATAGTCATGCAAACATTTGTTTGTAGAGCAAGTAGTTTGACCGTTTTCTCCTGTTTATTATTCCAAGTCATTTCTCCCATACCAATACATGTCATTGGATTGTGGGGGAAACCAACGCAAACACGGGGAGAACATGCAAACTCCACATAGAAATGCCAACTGGCCCAGCCAGGACTCAACCCAGCGACCTTCTTGATGTGAGGCAACAATGCTAAACACTGAGATACTCATCAAAGTGTTTTCATTATAAAAAAATCTTGTCTAATTCAATTCAATTCAATTAAATTCAGCTTTATTTGTATAGCGCTTTTACAATGTAGATTGTGTCAAAGCAGCTTCACATAAATGGTCATAGTAACTGGATCAATGATGGTGATGTTTTATACTGAGAGCTGCTTGACAGTAATTACATATTGGTGGTAATCATTATTCAATAAAAACAAATGAGTCAACCTAGAATGACCCATTCAGCATCTGGTATAAGCAGTCTGTTCTTCTCTGGTATTAAAAATACAATTTGAAAAGTGTCTTCAATGTATAGTCAGGTTTTTGCACAAGTTTGCATAATGCCAGGTTTTCATTGGTCCTCATATACTTCAGTGCTAGAAGAGTTTTGTTCCACATGATGAGTTTGGAGGTGCCACGGTAGCGCAATGGGTAGCACGATCACCTCACAGCAAGAAGATCGCTGGTTCGAGCCTCGGCTAAATCAGTTGGCATTTCTGAGTGGAATTTGCATGTTCTCCCCGGGTTTCCTCCGGGTGCTCCGGTTTCCCTCACAGTCCAAATTCATGCACTATAGATTAATTGAATGAACTATATTGCCCGTAGTGTGTGTGTGTGTGTGTGTGTGTGTGTGTGTGTGTGTGTGTGTGTGTGTGTGTGTGTGATTGCAAAGGTGTATGGCTGTTTCCCAGTGTTGGGTTGCAGCTGGAAGGGCATCCGCTGTGTAAAACATATGCTGGCTAAGTTGGCGGTTCATTCCACCGTGGCAACCCCTGATTAATAGAGAGTGAGCCAAAAAAAGTGAATGAATGAATGAGAATGAGTTTAGATCTACATGTTGGAAACTGGTAGCCATTGACATGAAGTGAATTAAACACATTAAGGGTTAGAATCACGTAAGTAAATGCTGTGCAAATAAAAAAAACTAATCAATGATAAATTTATTGGTGTCCAATTATTAAATATTAAATAAAATAATTCATTAAAATTAAATATATAGGCATATATATATAAATTAAAACAAAAATGTTGCCACTTTTATAATGATTTTATAATATTATTATGGAGGATTTAAGCACATCCGCAAACAATTTGCAGTAAGAAATAAAAATCTAAGGGATAGATCAAACTTTTTTCTTCTTCTTTTTTGCATTGCTAGATTATAATAAGCAAAGGTATGATCATATCATCATGCACATAAACATGCTCAATATATTCAGATTTCGGATGGATGTATGCCTAAAAAAAAAAAAACAGGAACTTTTAAAGTGTGTGCGCGCATGTGTTTATGTGTGTGTGTGTGTGTGTGTGTGCGTGGTCCTATTTCAAGGCACACTTCAAAACAGCAGTGGCCAACTAATGGCCATATGACAGTTGCTGTGGCAACAATCAGATATATATATATATGAAACAAACAAAGTGTGTTTCCTAAAGATGCTCACACACACAGAGAGAGAGAGAGAGAGAGAGAGAGAGAGAGAAAGAAAGAGAAAGAAATCAGCCTACAGCATAAGACTAATAATAAACCTGGCCGCCATAAGGCACAGTTACTGCCAGTGACGGCGCATTCATCCAGGAGGCAGCAGACAGGCTGCTTGTGCAACCAAAACATCTGGGTCAGTCATGGAAAGACGGAGGGTGAAAATAGTCTCAGAGGCACACACACACACACACACACATACATACACTGCCTGATGCATACCACACACAAATAAGGCAAGAGCTTCGCAAACATGCGGGATACTTTGATTGATTGCTCAATTTCTGGGAGTCAAGGTACAAATAGCTGGTGTGACGTACTGAACACTGTTTCCAGCTCAGAGCCTCTGCCACTACATTTAAGTATAGAAAACTGTCTATAAATAGCCATTTATCACCACTGTTTAGTCAAATCCCATATAACAAGCTAGAATTTTACATAATCATGCTGTTCAACACAAACATCTGGACTTTCATACCTCAGACACCTACATATATATATATATATATATATATATATATATATATATATATATATATATATATATATATATATATATAATTCAAATGTTGACCACTGTATATTGGTATGGGGAGGTCAGCCTTTTAACAGTGAGAAACATTTTTCTCTGCTCTGCATATTAAATAGCAATATCAATCATTAAAATAGATGATATACGTACACCTTTGACCAGCCCTATAATGGTTCATACCACTGGGAATGCATCATCTTGCCAATCATTCTATGCAAGAAAAACTTGAATGAAAACTGCAGATCAATAAATTAATAATTAATATACATCATAAGAGTCCGCAAGTCACTTTTCTTGTAAAAAAGGTGTTTTAATCTACATATAGACTGAAAGTAAAGTCAAATTAGATGCATAGTTTGACCTACAGTAACTTCTGAAATAGCTAATCAGAGTTTCTGTAGGTCAGAATGCACTAAATATCCCTAAAACTTTAATACGTTTTAATAATAATTTAGATGCAATTGAAATAAATACAGTGATTTTATTCACTAAAGGATGTTATATACAAAATAACATTACCAAAAAAGTTGACTTCCCCAATCGTCAATGTATAATCGCACCCTTTACGTATTTATGCTTATTGTAAACGTTCATTTGAGTATCGTTGAATTTCAGGTTACATTTTGTCATTATGCAATCTTAAATTACCGTAGAATATTCAGTCATGTACAATTGTCAGGTGTATTAACTATACTTTACACTCAAATTTAGCTAAATTATTAAAAGCAATAAAAGAAAAATAAAAAGGAACATGGAGGAAAATTTAGTTTAACCATTTATAAAAGATGAATCACTGTCTGGCCATCTGAGATCAGGCATGGATATAAACATTACAATCATGTTTTTCCAATAGTATTACAGCACACTGAGAGTATATTAGTACTCTTTGTTGTCATTTTTGGCATCACATGATGTCACACTTAACAAGAAAATGGTTACACTAGCGAGCTTATAAAAATAGCCTCAAATTTGTAGATCTATAAGCAAAAATCCAGCTCACCTGGCATGATGACATCTGAGAAGCCCAGCTTTTTGGTGATGGACACTCCTCTGGTGAAAAGCACCATATATTCTCTTCGCAGCTGTTCAATGTCACCGTGTAGCAGCTGGAGCGCCACTGCCAAACCTGAATTGAACACACACACATTAAATTCATATTAATTTTTAAACAAGGAGAGCATAATATGAGCTAATTGAGTGTGATTATTCACACTTTTCTTGAATCCTAATTGATTGTTAATGAATGGACCTTTATGGCAAAAGACTGACACTGAGAAAACTGTGCACCTGCATATGATGAATATTCACAGGTATTCACTGGAGAGGATATGAATATTCATTAGGCAGCTATGAATAAAACAATCCTCCCACATCATACTCTCTTATTTTGAGGGGAAGTGATGGTGAATGTCAATCTGCTGTCTTTTTATTTACTACGGATGTTAACCAGATAAAATCTGGCAGTGTTTCTGGAGGGATGAAACTAACGGAGAATGGAAGGAAAGAATAAAGGATGGATGGATAAAAGTAATGAACAAGTGATGAATGGATGGAAGAAATGAATAGATGGAAGGAATGAAAGAAATTGAAGGAACAGACGAATGGACAGATGGATAGATGAAACCAATGAATAAGGATACAATGGATGGATGGATGAATAAATGAACAGACAAATTAACAATATATGAATGGATGAACAAACAAGTGAATGGTTGAATGACATTAAATGAATGGACACATAGACAATAGATAGATAGAAGGAAGAAATGACTGAACAAGTGAACAATGAATGAATGAATGAATGAATGAATGAATGAATGAATGAACGAACAAGTAGACGACATGATGGATGATGAATGATGGATGAATAAACAATTGAATGATGGATGGTTGGATGAAGTTAAAACAAGTTAAGAACAGATGGATGGATAAATGAACAAGCAAATGATGGATGTATGACTGATTGAACAAAGTAAACAATATACAGTGTAGATGGATGGATGAATGAACAAACAAAGTGAACAATGGTTGGATGGATGATTGAACAAGTGAATGGAAGATTGATGAATGAATGAATGAATGAATGAATGAATCAATCAATCAATCAATCAATCAATCAATCAATCAATCAAAAACAGATGGATGGATGGATGGATGGATGGATGGATGGATGGATGGATGGATGGATGGATGGATGGATTAAATGAATGAAAAATTGAAAGATGGATGGATGGATGAAATGAACAAGCAAATGATGGATGGATGGATGTTGGATGAAAAAAGTTATATGGATGAATGAACGAACAAACAAGCAAATGGCTAGATAGATGAAAGGATGGATGAAATTACTGAATAAATAAATTAATAATGAATGAATGAATGAATGAATGAATGAATGAATGAATGAATGAATGAATGAATGAATGATTATGGATGAATGAACAAGTAAGTGAATGATGGATGGATGAATTAAATGATTGAACAAATAAAAGTGTATAAATATATGAAAAGAATGAAAGTGAATGATGGATGGATGGATGGATGGATAAACAAGCAAACAATTTAATGAATGAACAAGTGAATGATGGATGGATGGATTAAATGAATGAACAAGTGGACAATGGATTAATCAATGAACAAGCGAAGGATGGATAGACGAATGAAATGAACAAATGAATGAAGGATGAATGAACAAACAAACGATGGACAGATAGATGAAAGGATAATTTTCAAAAAGTTAATATTACAAACATCATAATCTTAGGAAATCAATTAATTAAAAGTCACTTTCATCCATCTTTAAACCAATCGCTCCTTCATTGGTCTCAGATTTGGAGAAAAGGGAAACTCTAGGTAAAAAATCAATCTGAAAGGCCATCAGTGAATGACAGTACAATGATTTAGCAAGCATGCAGCTCTTAATGAAGCTCTGAGGTTGATCATAAACTGGCACAATCTCAATAGCAGCGGCTTCATGTTGTATAATGGCTGTTTGATGGCATCGTGGTAGAGAAATTCTACTGGAGAATTATTCAATTACTGCACTCCTACATAGTCTCATTAATCAATCAGACAGATTCAGAGCGTGAACATGGGAACTGGGCCAAACAAAAGCTACCTAAATAGAAATGTTACGCCAGTAGAATGTAAGCAATTCACAGCAATTATAAGACAATGATTAATGCATCTTTCCATGCATGACTTGCATTCCAATGCACAATGCAATAGGAATTTAAGTCACTATATTTTAATGATGATCCAGTTCACTCTTACAAATAAAATAAAATATCAAATAAAATAAATTAATTAAAATAAAACATTTATTAAAATAAATTTAAATAAAAAAAGAAAAAAGAAAAAAGAAAAATAATTTAAATAAAATAAAATAAATTAAATAAATTAAAATAAAAAATAATTAAATTAAAATAAAACTAAAAGATTACAAATAAATTAAAATGAAAAATTAACTAAAATAAAAAATGTTAAAATTAAATAGAAAACAATTATAAAATAAATTAAAATTAAAAATGTAATAAAAATGAAATGAAATGAAATTTAATTAAAATAAAATAAAAATTAAATAAAAATTAAATAATGAATTTGAATAAAATAAAATAATAAAAATATATTAAAATAAAAAAATATAAAAAATAAATTAAACTAAATTAGAATAATGCAATACAAAAAAATAAAAATAAAAAATAAATTAAAATAAAAAATAGAGTAAAATTTTTATTAAAATATATTAAATTCAAATAAAAAAGAAAAATATGATATGGTAAGTAATATATATATATATATTATATGTATTTATAACAATAAATTAAAATGAAATTAAATAAAATATGCATTTATGAATGTTGAGGTTAAAACTAAAATTATTTTTTATATAAATGTTCAATAGCATGTAAAAATACTTTAAAAGTTCTAAATTAAGCACAAGTACTACATGAAACATTATTTAAAAGTTCAATTAAAGTAAAATGTAATTACTGCTCCATTAACTTTCAGTCCATTATGATAATCACCCTGATGTTGAATAAGATCCCATTTCTTTTGTCCTGTTCAGCATAACTGATGTGGTGAGAATTAAACCTCATAGGAACTGCATTGCTTATTAATGAGCATCATAGTAAAGATGTTATCTTGCCTCACACCACATGAGCAAGAGTTTAACAAACCGCACTGAATAATTTCATACATTAGCAGAAATTAGATCTTCATTCACTCAGATTAAAATCTTACACTTAGCAAGATGTTTTTATGAGCATACTGAGCATTGTCTGAGCAAATAAACGACTGTGACGGTCATCATAATTCATTTAATCACTGCCTTTGGGATGTGTGGAGATCCTGCGTGTGATTGTGAGCACTTCACATGAAAAAAATGCAGAAATTGCAAAATAAAAGCTGCAAATCCACCATCTGGATTCTTCTGCTTCTTTATGCTTATATCACTTTATTCTTCCACAGCCGAAATGAAATATATTAGCATGTGTAGCTGTTTGGATAAGCCACCCTGAGGGTCTTTTCATGCGCCTTCAGATCTGAAATTATTTACTTGGAGTCATCATGCAAATGAGGTTTCTGAGCATCTTTACACGACCAGAGCCAGATCCGCTGGCAAACCACGTACACAAGCTTTATTGATGAAAATGGGTGTTTAATTTAAGCGGAAAACACTTTTTAAGGTTTGATTTTTCCCTCAAGTCCACTTATAATGTTTAAGAAACTTTCATAAATCAAACACTTGATTCTTAACTATGCTGTTTTCAAGCCTGACCTTCAGAATTAAGGTCTGTTTTGTTACTGTTTCTTCAAGAAAATGTGTGCAATCTTTTGTTATGTTATGTTACCTATGCTTTAAAAAATGCTGGGTTTCACACAATTCCATCATGTAGTCCCAAACAAAAACTTCCCTGCCATTGAGTTTTATGGCAATCTGTGTTTTAGGTGTATTACGGTAGGGGAAGCCCAAACACATGAGTGAGTCCTGATTGAGGTACATGATGTCAGATGAGAGAGAAATATGAGAGTAACTAAGATCGTTCATAAAAAAAATAAAAGGTATACAACCTTCATTTTACTTATCCCCTACTGTTAATTTGTCTTGACAAGAGAGCAAAATAAAGAAGCTTTATTTTTATGATTTGTGTCATTGTGACAGATTGCACACCTAATATAGTGTGCCAACAGCCGGCAGCTAACTCTCTGCAACTCTCACATGAAGCTAAGCAGGGCTGCGCCAGGTCAGTACCTGGATGGGAGACCACACAGGAGAGCTGGGTTGCTAAGCGGTGTTAGTGAGGCCAGCAGGGAGCGCTCAACCTGTGGTCTGTGTGGGTTCTAATGCCCCAGTATAGTGACGGGGACTCTATACTGCTCAGTGAGCGCCGTCTTTCGGATAAGACGTTAAACCGAACTCCCGACTCTCTGTGGTCATTTAAAATCCCAGGATGTCCTTCGAAAAAGAGTAGGGGTTTAATCCTGGCCAAATCTGCCCACTGGCCTCAGTCCGTTATGGCCTTCTAACCCTCCCCATATCCTAATCGGCATATCATCAATCTGTCTGCTCTCCAACAATCAGTGTGTGGTTTGCGGTCTGGCGCAAAATGGTTACCATCGCGTCATCCAGGTGGATGCTGCACACTGGTGGTGGATAAATTTATTTTACAAATTTATATATATATATATATATATATATATATATATATATATATATATATATATATATATATATATATATATATATATATATATATATATATATATATATATAATTATATATATAGCTCCAACCTGCCTCAACACGCCTGCAAGGATGTTTCTAGAAAGCCCAGTAAGAGCTTGATTGGCTAGCCCAGGTGTGTCTGACTAAGGTTGGAACTAAACTTCGCAGGACACCAGCCCTCCAGGACTGGGTTTGGGCACCCCTGATTTATACATTTTTAGTTTATAATTGAAAGCAAATTTCTGGGAATTATCCCCACAACATCAGTCATTTTTAATTGCAAAGAAATCACAAAAAAATCATTAAAAACTAGGAGGGTCTGTATATATATATATAAAATAAAATAAAAACTTCCCTTGCCTTATGTGTTATCCTTTTACACATCCAACTTGACATAAGTGACAGAATCTCAATGTTTTATTACCTGTATTGGATCCTGAAAGGTTGTATCTGGAATTGACCTTCTTAATAATGTTGTCGTGAATTTGACTCCAGTCGCTCTCTGTGTTGCAACTGTAAAATAAATCAATATAATAAACAACAGAAATGAGAACAAAAGCACTAGATTGAGTCTCAGAGACACAGATATGAAAAGAAGCAATCATATTAAGAGGACGGGACGCGAGCCAGATGATAATGCGACTGTGAAGCACAAACATCTAGAGCTGAACACATCTGTCTGCCCGCCGGCGCAAAGTAGGACACACTGTTACTGACTGCTCAGATTTACAGTTGTGCTTCAGACGGCAGCTCTTTAGATTGAAACCGTCATACTTTGTTGTGTACAAACACAGACGATTACTTAAATCTGAATGTGGAGTGGAGAAATCAGATCGGTTTCTCTTTAGTAATTAGCCAGTGACATTTACGACAATACAAAACAACAAATTTTGACTTCAAACATGTACATAATGATTGATTGATTGATTACTATTCACAATCCAGGTAATATTAGTCTAAAATAGATAAAAATAATCTTTATACTGTACTGAATTTATTAAATGCATAAAGTAGCAATCTTCTAAACATAAAAAAATAACAAATACAAACCATTTTGACTTCAAGCATGTATTTATTTATAATTATTTACTCGTGTGTTTGCTTGTTTTATGCCAAGTCATGATCTATAATGAACGATTTTCATGGAGATAATTATAATACATATACTATACTGTTTTATCCACCTATATCCACATCCACCACCCTATATCTATATCCATCTATATTGACATCCATCCACCTATATATATCCATCTACAACCATCCATTTATATCAACATCCATCTATATCCATCTATCTATACCTATATGCATCCATCCATATATAAATATATATTAACATCTATATCCAACCATATCTACATCTATATCCATACATCTATATTAATTTCTATCAACCTATATAATTCTATTTATCCATCCATCCATCTATATCCATATATCTATACCTATATGCATTCACCTACATATACATACATAAATATATACATATATCTATACCTATATGCATTCACCTACATATACATATATCTATACCTATATGCATTCACCTATATATACATATATCTATACCTAAATGTATTCACCTATATATACATCTATACATGTACATATACACAGATACATCTATGTCCATTGTCATTAACCTATCTAAATATATCTATCCATCCATCCATATCTACATCTATATGCATTCATCTATATCTATACCCATCTATATCTATATCAATTCATTGATCCATATATATATCTGCAACCATCCATCTATCAACATCCATATACAGTACACCCATCTACATCAATGTCTACTGTACATCCACATCCATCTATATCCACATCAATTCATATCCACACCCACCTATATTTACATCCACCCCATCTATATCTATATCTATACCTATATGCATCCACCCACATATATATATATCAATATATATCTACAATCTAGATCTACTGTTCATTAACATCCATCTGTATCTACATCTATATTTGTATTCATACATCTATATCCCTTTTCATAGTCCTATCTAAATCTATCTATTCATCCATCCATCTCTATATCTATATGCATTCATCTATATCTATACCCATCTATATCGATATCTAGATCTATATTAATCCATCGATCCATATAGATCCATCTATATCTGCAACCATCCATCGATTTCAACATCCATATACAGTACACCCATCTAAATCTATTTCTACTGTACATCCACATGCATTTATATCCACACCCATCTATATCTATATCCATACATGATCCATCTAAATCTATCCATCCATCCATATCATCTATATCGATCCATCCATAAATATGCTTCCATCCATATATATCAATTTCCATCTATCTATACCTATATCCATCCATCTATATCTACATCCATCCAATATATCAACATCAATTTATAGCTATATCCATCCATATCTACAGCCATCTATATCTACATCTATAACTGCATCCACATCCATCTACATCTATCTATCTATCCATCCATATCTAAATCTATCCATCTATATCTAAACTCATTCATATCAATCCATCAATCTATATGCACATCCATTAATCTACATCTACATCAAACTATTCCATCCATATCTACAGCCATCTATATCTACATCTATAACTGCATCCACATCCATCTACATCTATCTATCTATCTATCCATCCATATCTATATCTATCCATCTATATCTAAACTCATTCATATCAATCCATCAATCTATATGCACATCCATTAATCTACATCAAACTGTTCCATCCATATCTTTATCTATCCATTGATGTTTATATATCTATACCCATCCATCCATCCCTCCATCTGTCCATCCATCCATCAATAACAGGTTACAATAAATAGTTGTCATCATTACATAAATCCATTGATGAAGAAAATAAAATGAAGTTGGCCAGAAAACCTCAACCGATCTGACCAATCAGGAGTAGACCTGTCTGATTTCACAGTCTGGATGAATTGGGTATAGTGCGCGATGTACTGAATATGTTCACTTACGCATAGACCTTCAGCAGGTGGTCATCTTTAGAGTCTGCAGTGAGAAGATCAGCAATACTGACCACAGCACAGCCGAACGGACGCCTGTATTGAACATTACACAAATTTTTCTTCTCTCCGGCACCCATCCTGCCTAAAACACACAACAAACACAGACAAACAATCAGTACTAGATCACATCATCAACATCGGTTATTTAGAGGAAACTAAATCAACTTTTTACCGATCCTAATGATGTGGACGACGATATATACGTCTTTTCTCAGGTCACTACTTCCCAGATCCTGAATAAAACAGCACCGATAGTTTCATCAACCCTAATAATTATGCATAATTACACCGGGAGTGATTTCAGCTCAACACTCACCACAAAAAGTGTGCATTGTCTTTCAGTCTTCTCTGGAAACTTGGGCAGACCGTTTTTATTGAGTTTGACAAAGAACCTTTCACTGCAAAACAAAGAGAGAGGGAGAAAGAGAGAGATGTGTGTTTAGCTCAAACACTGAGCTCATTCTGTGCACATGCAGTTTAAAAACAACCAGATCTCAAGAAAGTTCATTTTAGAGGCTGTGAGGAGGAACAAGTGCACGAAAAGGTGCAGTAATTTGCCTAATTAAACAGTAATGGAGAAGTTTAAATTCAACAACTTTATTAATCCCACTAGGTGCAATTAAATTATGGCAGTTGCATCATGTACAAACACATAGAGACAAATCACTTACAAACAATATTAAAAAAAACAACAACAATCCAGCATGCTTCATAATAAATTCATAAATAATGCTACTCAAAAAAAGCAATAAGGAAAGACCTATCGATTAATAATGTAAAACTTGCTGAAATGCAAGGCCTTATTGCCGCAAGAACAAAGGCAACATGTAATCATTCAATACTCAAACATGTATAAAAAAATAAAATAAAAAACATGTAACAAATAAATAAATGTCAAAACAAAAAATTATAATAAAATAAATAATACACAATAAATTTAAAACAACTGAACAGGTCAAACAAAACCTAATTTAACATTGTTAAAAATAAAATAAATGTTTAGAAAACTTGAAAAGCCCCCAACATTAATTTTTTTTTAGCAAAACATGTTCAAAACAGTATAAAACATATTGGAATAAAATAATTTTCATGTTAGCTGAGTAGCTATATATAACTATATATAAGGTAAGATATATGGGAAAATAGCACGTTTTTCACAAATAAAGCATGAGCACACATTGCTTTGCACTCTGTAAACACAACCAAGCCTTAAAAATATACTCTGGACCACCACTTCATTTAAATATTTCCCAAATAAAAAAGTATATAAGCAAATAAAATTAATGTAAATATAAAACATTAGGCTCTCAGTACAACTGGCGTCGCCCATCAAAAACATAATCCACTTTCATGACTTTCACAGCTCCATGACAAAACACAAGCTGCCCTATAAATGCATCCCGACAGGAACAAAAGCTGGCAACAGCAAATGAAACAGAACTTCAAAATCCAATGCCCTCAGGAAAACACACGTTCATGCATTGACTCGTATAAAATCGGCCCTTCACACAAACACCATGTAATTAACTGAGTATTGTTGTGATCTCAGTGTCCTGTCACCACAGACAGGAGCACAAAGCCTGTTTTTGGCCTTTGACACACAAACACAATTGCTTTCTGAAGAGCGGTTTGTGGATGTTTTTCTGAAAAAAAAACAACAATCCAAACAAAAAAATATTGTTGAAGCTTAAAAAACACGTAGGAACAACAACAAAAAAGAAAAAAAAACATGGTTGAAAAACACAATATCAAAAATAAAAGTTGTGAATAAAATAAAATAAAATAAAATGTGCTTAAACAACTAAATGAGTCATGAAAACATGTTCAAAACAAGCCACAAACAAGACATGCTGGAAAAACACGTTCAAAAATAAAATGTAAAAAAAATATGCTTATTTGAGACAAAGATTAAAGCAAACCAAAACAAACAAAAAGAGTGAAAGAAATGTTTAAAAAAAATTACATTTAGAACTTAAAATGAAATGTTTAGAACAACAAACCAGGGGTAAGTACAGGTGGATTACTCAATTAGCTGGATTTGGTTATTGACGATTTGAAGTTTAATAAAAGTAAAAAAAAAAAAATATATATATATATGATATTAAAATATATAAAAAAAAAAAAACATATTCAATCTGCACTTCGAAATAAAAGTATAAAGACTGTCCTGGCGTGATTCTCCCCAAGGGGTTCAAAGAGAACATTTTATTAATATGGACTTGTTAGATACAAATGCATACTATTTAAAGGTACAGATCCAGCTTTAGTACAATTTGTCAATGATAAAAGAAAACATGTACAGTTATCAACAGTTTTTTGTTTGTTTGTTTTTTTTAAAGGAATAATAATTTGTGCAGTCATGCACATGTTTAAACAGACAATAAGCTATGATGGTGATTTGATACCTTCACCAATATCAAAATGCTTTTTTGATGTAGAATTAATTTAAACAGCCAGTTATTATTCTGATTAATCTGATCTAAATGTAAAACTAAACAAATTTATAAATGTTCTTGACACATGAAAGTGTAAGCCTGCAGCCCACAACAAAAGTTATGGCGTATCATATTTAACAAACTTACATATTTACGTTTTCTATGAATTTTATGTAATTTTGCTCACATGGATAATTGAATATTAATCAGATGATGTCATTACGCTGCTGTGCCGTCAGCTATTTGTTGCATTGCTGATTATGATTTCGAGGATTGATAGATCAGTCCTTTACAACACACAAAGCAATCTCAGATCAGTTTATCCAGATATTTTATCCAGATATCTGATTCACAAACTTGTTGAAAAACCAAATTAGCCAGAGATCAGTTATCAAGATTAAAAGATCCAGGACCTGCCAATTTATCTTAGATCTTTTGAGTAAGAATGGACCCCAGGACAGAAGAAAATTCTTTAAAGCAAAACAAACACCAAACAAAAAATGCTGTGAAAAAAAGAAAGTTTAAAAAAAGAAAATGTAAAAATTATATGTTTAAAACAAACATATAATGAACCAGACATGCTGTGAATAGACATGTTAAAAAAAAAAACTAAAATGGAAGAAAAACATTGAAATGAAACAAAACATTTCAAATAATAATAAAAAAAAATGCTTTCAACAAAACAGGTCGGAAGAAAACACACCACGAACAAGACATGCTGGGGAAAAACACATGGTAAAAAAAATTAAACATTCAGATTTAAAGAAAAAAAAAAACATGCTTGAACTTGTTAAAAGCCAAACAAACCACAAACAAAACATGTTGGGACAAAACATGTTCAATAAAACTAAAATGAAAAAGAAAACATTCTTTTAAAACAAAACAGGTCGGAAGAAAGCATGTTCAAAGGAAAACATGTTTGCAAAAACATGTTTTAAAAAACAAGTAGTAATAAAAAAGTAAAAAAAAAAAAAAAGAATATATAGATATATATATATATATATATATATATATATATATATATATATATATATATATATATATATATATATATATATACACACACAAAAAACATTAATAATAATAATAATAATAATAATAATAATAATAACTAGACAGTAAAGTTCGTCACAACAAACTTTGAGGCTGGCTTGTCAAAGCCTGTTGGCAATAGTTTATTTAGTTTTAAAACAGTTTAAAAAAGTATAAATAGCATGTTAGTAGCATAAAATATAATATATAATAAATAATAATAATATATATAATAATATATAATAAAAATTAATGAACATTGAAATATATAACCATTAAAGTAAAAAAAAAAAAAAAACAAGTAGTATTAAATCGGCCCTTTAATACACAAACATTATCAGTGTATTTGTGATCTCAGACTCCCATTAGCACGGACAGCAGCACAAAGCCCGTGTTTAGCCCCTGACACACAGATATGCAGGACTTTCTGAAGAGCAGTCTCTGGATATTCCTATGGGTTGATATCATGCACACATTTCCATAACACACACAGTCGGACCGCTTTCTTTCACTCTCACCCCGCACATGACAGAGAATTTGATATTTCCTCCCTTGATGCGGGGGATTATAAAACAACTAGTTGAAATGGGAGCGGGATACGACCCCCACACCTCTGGATAAATCGACACGGCTGGAAAAGTGATCCCTGCACGTCTGGGGGGATAAATGAAGCGATCCTGAGGGAACACTGTTACCCAGAAGACTGTCAATCTGCACTTTGTACACATCCTGTGGCAGAAATGATGAAGAGAAACACAGACAGACCCTTTCTCTTCCACATAATTCTCTCTCACTCACACACACACACACAGAAACAGAAGGGCTTTTGGACCCAGCAGTGACCTTCTTGCTGTGAGACGACAATGCTAGCCCTTTTTGTCACCATTAGACTCTAAATGTTATAATATCACATCAGAAGTATGTGTACTCTCTTTTAATATGCATTCAGTGTCAAACATTTCATGCAGAGCGATTCTCTGTTGACCGCAGGTGTGTGTGTGTATTTGTGAATCTGGACAGCTGTGTGATTAAATCCACAGTCTGGACAGTGAGCCGCAGGACAGTCTGAACAAGCTCCACTCAGGAGCCAAAACAAGAGAAATAATTAGCTGTAAAACGAGGCATGTAAGCAAGCGGGGAGACGAGTGATGGATCAGCAGCACATTATTATTCTCCTTCAAGAGTCAAGAACAACTCCAATCAATGAAAAACACAACGTGAGCCAATGACACCAGCAGCTGCTCAGAGCGTCACTGTCTGCAGTTAACCAGTAGATGAGATCAACATAAACACACACACATATATGTGCATGTGCACACAGAGACACACATGCATTCATGCAGACACAGTCAGACAAGAAGACAGAGAGAAACACACACACGAACAGACAAAAAGACATACATACACAGACAGACAGACAGACAGACAGACAGGCAGACAGGCAGACAGGCAGACAGGCAGACAGGCAGACAGGCAGATCGGGCAGATCGGGCAGACAGGATGAAGGGGCAGACAGAAAGAAGGAGCAGACAGGACAAACGGGCAGACAGAATGAAAAGGCAGACAGGATGAAGGGGCAGACAGGTCGAACGGGCAAACAAGACCAACGGGTAGACAGACCAACGAGCAGTCAGATGAACAGGCAGGCGGGTCGACAAACAGGCGGGCGGGCAGATGAACAGGCAGGCAGAAAAACGGGCGGGCAGAGGAGCGGGCGGGAAGACAGACCAACAGGCAGACAGACATACCAACGGGCAGGCAGACAGACCAATGGGCAGGCAGACAAATGGGCGGGTAGGCAGGCAGACAGACAGACAGACAGGCAGACAGACAGACAAGCAGACAGAAAGACTGGCAGGCAGACAGGCAGACAGACAGGCAGACGAGCAGATACAAATGGAGAAAACACAAAAATACACACAGACGTGCACACACACACACACACACACACACACAAACACACACACAAACACACACACATACATACACATACACATACACATACACACACACAAACACACACAGAGAAAAAAAGCAAGAGAGTCGCACACAAACAGACTAACAGACAGACACAGACAGACAGACAGACAGACAGACAGACAGACAGAAACAAACAAACAAAAACACACAAATATACAGACAAACAGACACAAACACACGGACAGACAAAAAGACAGACACACAGACAAAAAGGCAGACAAACACACACTGACAGACAGAGAGAGAGACAAACACACACACACACACACACAAACTCTCTCTCTCAGCCTCCAGTGCAGGTGTGTGTTTGGCTGATGAACAGTTTATTTGTTGTTCATCTGTCTGCACTGGTCAGGAACAAACACAGGAGGAAGCTGCACATGTAATGAGGTTATGATTGAAGAGCACATCCTGGCGCCGGATACAAAGAGCTAAGTTCATAATAACGCTCCAAAAAAAGCTGCTCTTGAAAGAATCTTTAAAAAAAGATGCAGTAATAAAGAGCAATGATGTAAAAAAAATCAGCTTTGAACGTGCAACTTCTGCCCACTATTCAAGACAGATTAGCTGACAGGAGTAACACCCGGTGTGGTCTTCTGCTGCTGTAGCCCATCCGCCTCAAGGTTGGACCTCGGTTCAAGACCTTGGTTGCCAGCTGGAACCAGTCTGGCCATTCTCCTCTGACCTCTGGCATCAACAAGGCATTTGCACCCACAGAACTGCCTCTCACTGAATATTTTCTCTTTTTTGGACCATTCTCTGTAAACCCTAGAGATGGTTGTGCGTGAAAATCCCAGTAGATCAGCAGTTTCTGAAATACTCAGACCAGCCTGTCTGGCACCAACAACCCTGCCACATTCAAAGTCACCTAAACCCCCTTTATTCTCCAATCTGATGCTCGGTTTAAACTGCAGCAGATCATCTTAACCATGTCTACATGCCTAAACGCATTGAGTAGCTGCCATGTGATTGGCTGATTAGAAATTTGTGTTAACAAGCAGTTGGCCAGGTGTACCCAATAAAGTGGCCGGTGAGTTTAAACACATATCATTTAACCATTTACCTCAGTGGTCGGTTCTCTCGACTGTCGTAGATGAAGAAGAAAACCTCCAGTTCTTCGCCCAGGTTCGAGCTCATCAGACTCTTGAGATGGACAAACAGGTGATGTGTGCTGACCGGAGCCGGGGTTTCCTTCTTCCGGTGCCGATGCTCCATCTGTCCAATCAAACACACACGGATTATTACATATTAAGGAAAAAATAAATGATTCATGGTGCATCTACAGTTGGATGCAAAATGATTATGATTAATCCTTTTGAAATATTTACTACATTAAATATTCATGCATTCTTGATTGTTAGTGGTTTACCTTGTTGGGAAGAGGCAAAACGTGTCATTTTTACTGTTGATCATCAGTTGAAAGTATTAAATCTTTAGATAGGGCTGTGCAAAAAAAAGTTTTCTGGTTTTTAAAGAGAGTAAATATAAAACATATGCATATAAATACATGGAGTAAAACAGCAAATTATAGACCATTTCAATTTGGTTATGCCATTGGCCCTTGAACATTTCCTGCTTGTCATCAAACTATTTCATAATGTAACAAGAGTCAATTCAATCATGATTCAATGCTAAAACAGCTATCATAGCATTATCAACACTGTATGTGGCTCTTTTTGGATTTTTTAGAAGCTATAAAAATATGCTGGGACCATTGTTTTTGTTTACATCCTTTAAAATGATCTATGGCAGTGGTTCTCAAACTGTGGTGCGGTACAAGGGCTTACTTCTAGTGGAATCAAATATGTTATATGTACATGCCACATATATTTAAAAATGTATAAAAAATGAATTATATATGCATATGATGACATATAGCTAGGGCCACACGGAATCTGCACAAGCAGAATTCAGCAGTTTTTTAGTCCATCATTGAGTCTATTTATTTACTTGTGTAAATGTGGGTAAATTTATATTTATTCAGTTTTTATATTAATTCCAGTAACATTATTAACTAACATGAAAATATTCATATGATTTATTTACACTGCAGTTTATAAAGTAATATGTTCTGTTTTTTCGTAGATATATTATATGAGAGACTTGCATTGTTTACCAAATAAAGTGGATCTAATTGGATTTTAATTGTAAACATTAAATGTTAATAATGTTTTTTTTTTTTTCATATATTAAGGTTTTAGTTATGATACTCCTAAATTCATTCCGCATAAATCCGCAGATTTTTAACACAATTCTGCACAGTTATAGCAAAAAATGTCTGCAGATTTTGTCCTACATATAGCCTATATTTCCAGGTGTTGATACTTTACATTTAAGTACAGGTGTTGTTTTTTTTTTGTTGTTGTTTTTTTTACTTTAAGAACAGTAACCTATCATTTTTAACTTTTAAAAGCACGTTTTAATTTAAATGTTGACATTTTTTTGTCTTTTTTTGTATTTTATTTATTTATTTAGTTTACATGTAAGAATAGTACAGGGTTAAAGTTCAAACTATTTAAAATGTTTTAAGTGGCTGACAATAATATTATTAATCTGCCTCATTTTTTAATTGTACAGAGCTGCAGCTGCTTTACTGGGCCTACTACACGACTGTATTTCCATGGTGGTACTTTTTTTGGAGGTGGTACTTGATAAAAAAAGTTTGAGAACCACTGGTCTATAGTGTGCATGCATAAATGCACGATGTTTACTATGTTCTAAGAGCTAAGTAGCTTATTTGGATTTTTTTTTTTGCTGACATTTCAAGGTAAATGTTTAAAAGTCTCTCTCTTATTAAAGCCAGAAACAAAGCTGTTTTTGCACTGCAACTGATGATCAACAGCAAAAATGACAAATTTACGTATTCCCGACAGGGAAAACCACCAACAATTAATGCATGATTATAAGGTGTCATGGCTTTGCAATTAAAAAATGTCATTAGTCAAATGGGGCAAAAACAGCCCCCAACATAACCAAAGGGTGGTCAGTTTACCCAGAGTGTATTGTTGAAGCATTGTTCAAAGCATTAGCTCAAAATAAGTGTCAAAATAAGATTTGTCACAAAAAAAACAACCCATTTGCTGAAACACTGAGAAAATTGCAGCCAAATAAGACTCAAAATCACCCCCAGAGTGGATGAAAACATCCCCAACAGCGCACAAAGGTTAAAAAGCACCAGGCAATGACCTCAAAATGGAGAAAACTGCAGGTTTTTCTCCACTTTAGATCTCCACTGGTGAACGCATCAGAAATGCATTGGATTTTGTCCTGAATTCCAGCAGCTCTGTGTTCACAGCACGACTTCTTTACAGCCGGCCAAATCGAATTTGTTTCAGTTAATATGCTCTTTTCTTTGCAATGACACCACAGAGCAATGTCAAACTCGCACACACCCACACACACACACACACACACATACAAATGCACGCGCACAATCATATATATCACTGCACACAAGCTCATCTGAAGTGCACATCGGCTCTGTTGTTGTGCAACAAACACACTTCTCTCCAGAGAGCGTCTATTGGATCTATTGAAGCGCATGTGTCTGTGTTTGAGGACAGCGAGGTGTGAACAGGCGAGATGTGAAATATGAAAAGGCCAACGGGGGCACAGCATATGTGACACTGTGTATGTGTGTTTGTGTGTGTGTGTGTGCTCATGAGGACAGTGAAAAGCACTACTGAACACTTTCATTTGAAAAACATATTATAATGCATCACATTTCAATTACACTGATGGCATGTAGCCTTTTCTCAGTGTTTCTCAGTTAATTAGTGCTGAGTTTTGCAAGCAATTACTGAAGTAAAAAGGCAGCTATTATGACTAGTGTGCTATTTATGTAGGCTATAATTTTACCCACACATTCTTGTGATAAAGATAAGGAGGAGCAAGGGATATGTATAAGAAGAGCTTTAGCTTTGAAACGCATAAGCTAGAGTAATAATACATGAGTTAAGTATTACATTTGGCTTTGAAGTATAAGATCTGTTCTATCAGGACATTTAGGGCCCAATCATACACCCGTCACAATGCGGCGCAAGGTCAAGGCGCAATTGTTGTTTGCTAGTTTCAGCTCGGCGCATGGGTCATTTTGACGTTTTCCATCACGCTGTTTGAATAGCAAATGCGTTTGCGCTCATGTGTGCGCCCATAGGCAGTCTGGTTTAAAAAAGGAGGTGTGTTGAGGCGCATTGCTGGAGCATTGCTATTTTGAGAGCAACTAAAATACACTGTTCAATAGACTAGCTTAAAGGAGGTCTAAAGTCCAGTGCAGAGCGCGTTAGTTGTGCGCCTCGCTTAAATATTGCTTAATACACACAAGATGTACAGCAATACGCAAATATCTTTGAAAATGAAAAAGAGAATATTTTATTAAGAATTAAAATATTACAAAAATAATACATTTCTAGCCTACATAAATATAAAAACCACCGCCTCCATGCCTTCTTCATCTAGGGGGACTTTTTCAGTTTATTCATGACAATTTGCTTTTGTATAATGTTAATATTATTAGCAGTATTATGTATTATATACATAATAATATTTGTTTTATTAAAAACAAGCTTAGATTTGTCCACCTGCCAGGTTTTAGACCATAAGGGGCACAGCATGTGTATTTGGATATAGCTACACTACGTTATAACTGTTCATTTATTTGTTTGCTGGAAATTAGAACTGAATTTAGAAAAAGTTTTAAACAAATTGTTGCGCTTAACAAACAAAATTAATTATGTATAGGCTAATAGATGTCTGCGTACAACACGTTTCCCTATCCACGAGAGTGAAAGTGAAAGTAAAGAATGAGGAGGCTCATCTCTCACTCTTGCCTGCAGATGCTCTGTTTAACTGTTTTCTCTATAGACGCAACTGACTCTTATGGGAATGGGAGATGAGACTCTGATCGGTTTATTCTCAAAACACACCTATAACTTATTAAAAGAATAAGCTCAACCCTGTTAGACCATGCGTCACAGGGCAAAGCAGATTTTTCTGTACTTAAAATAGAAAAAGTTAATTCTGACACGCTTTTAATGCTTTTGCACCCTGCGCTTTGGACTTTTGCACCTGAATCGTCAAAAAAGAGCCCCTAGTGTTGTTTTATTAATAACTTGAGCTGTTTTCATCTTTTATATTTTCAATTTTCAGAAAACAGATTTAGTTTTATATCAATATATAAGAAAAAAGAAAAATGCTCAAAACATTACCTAAAAACCTAGGCAAAGTTTTAATTTTTTTTTTTTTCTTTTTTTGTCATTTCTATTTTATTTTTAAATTGTATTGTTTTTTTTCAGTATTTTTTTTTTCAAACTAAATAGAAAGACTCATTTTCTTGAAATAAAATGTTGATTTGTTTTATTAAAAAAAAGTTTTATTTTCATAGTTTTTTACTTAACCATAATAATTCTGAATTAATTAACTTTAAAAAAATGATGCCTTTAGCAATAAAATAATGGTATATACATGATTAAACCTTTGATTTGTATCCACAAATTAAATTGCAACTGATAGTAGGACGATTTATGAGTAAAAACTTAAATATTGCTTTCACTCTTGAAAGTACAGACAAAAGAAACCGAAAAGAAACTGCTCCTGGCTGCTTTTGAGAAATTATATTAACTGAAACTGAAATAGCAGAGGTTTAAATGGGAATGAATAGGCTAAAAAGATAAAGCGCTGGAATTCGCTAAAGACTTTATTCTGCGTTTGGCAGGCCAGATCAGATCACAGAAGGTTCTAGACTTCTTAAGCCCCTTACTTTCACATAAATAACTGTAAACAAAGACAACCTGTGCTCTAAACAAGAAAATATGGGGCAATAAATACCATGAACTTCCAACCAGACCAAATACAGAAGCTGAAAAGAGAAATTAAATAAATAAAAAACTCAGGGGAAAGTGAAGCAAACACAAATAATGTTTTAATAGATAATAAAATAATAAAAATAATGTTATGTCACTTCATAAGTTCTGCTTTGACCATGTCAATGTATATTTAACTTTTTCAAACTTTTATAATGATAGATTTTCCACCATCAACACTAATAAAACAGTATAGAAATACAAAGATTACACAAATACATTAAAAACATTATAAAATAAAACAATTACTTGTTTATTTTAGTTTAGTTTAATATTCTTTAACAATTAGAAATACAAAATGCTAAATCTTTAAGTAAAAAAGCAAAAGTAATAAAAATGGCCACCAAAAAAAAGTGTTTAATTAAAATCCATGTGCTTTGGAGTGTCAAATGGACAAAATATACAACATATATTCTTGATATATGCTCCCCATAATATCAACTAACCATAATATTGTCAGTTGCCAGGATAGTCCAATATATATCATGCCATCCTAATTAAGGCTGGTTTTCCAACTTTAGATCTCCCGGTTTCTTTCACACAAACCTTTGGTGACGAGAGATTCCTTCCTAGTTACTGTGTGTGGTGAGACTGTGTGGCCTGATTCACTTCCACACGATTCATCACAGCGAATGTGTCACAGGTAATGAGCTCCGTAAACACACAGCAAACACTGCAACTCAATCACAGCCAAACTAGCACAAAACAACCCAGATAGATCAATGACAGTCACCCAAAACCTCCTTTCCCAGCTTCAACTTTCTTATCTTCTCTACAGTGGCTACCCATTAAACCCTTCATAGGGCACTCGTTCAAAAACCCTGAAGTGTTACTGGAGGTTACTACAAGACTTTAATGACATAAATTTGCATTTCTGACTTAAGTGAAACTTTATTTTGATGATTCCTTTGTTGAATTTAAGTTACATTGCATCTGCATGCAAACTAATTCTTATTAGATTATGAGTAGACTGTTGGGGTTAGGGTTAGTGTAAGTTGACATGTCTGTTGAAGGAGCAGTATCAACAGATATTAAGCAGACGGTCTACTAATACTCAAATGGACCATCAAAACAGTGTTCCCCTGACTTATTTATGACTTATATTATAAAAACATATATTTGTAATCAGATAGTAAAGTTATTATATATGGTTCTTCAGTAAATACAGGGTTAAGCTGTTCTGTAGATGATAAAAAAGCTACTTCCCCACATAAGTTTAAATGGCTTAGCTCCTGTGTACTTAACTAACTTATCGTTACACTAATAAATCAGACCGTTAAAGGAGAGGATAGAAAAACCAACAAATAAAGCAGAGCATTTTTACACTTTACTTTAAAGCTCAGATAGTCATATCATATCCTTTTTTATATCATATTTATCAGGGTTTGCCACAATGGAATGAAGAACCAATTACTCTGGCATATGCTTTATGCAGAGAATGCCCTTCCAACCGCATGATACACACTCTCAGTAATAAAGGTACGCAAGCTGTCATTGGGGAGGTACCTTTTCAAAAGGTTCATATTTGTACCTAAAAGGTCTACAAAGCTCTTGTACCTTTATTTCTGAGAGTGTAGTGTATTCATATATGAAACTCAATACACCAATATATATATAAATATAAAAATAACCCTACTAAGACAGCATATCTTGTCATAAAACTTTCATAAAAATATTATATATTTTTATATAATATATATATATATATATATATATATATATATATATATATATATATATATATATATATATACATATTAAAAAAGTTATCAAAAAAAAAAAAAATATATATATATATATATATATAATTTTTTTTTTTTTTTTGGATAACTTTTTTAGTGTAACAAAACTAAAATTACATATTAATGAATACTTGGTCAAAGAATAGTAAAACATTAATATTTGAAGACATTTTAACAACAAATTCAATTTTTTCTAAAAGAAAAAATATAATAAAAACATTATCAAATTAATTACAATTATTTATTTTTTGGATAACTTTTTAAGTGTAACAAAACTGACATTAAATATTAATGAATATTCAGTCAAAGAATTGTATAACATCATTAATATTTAATGATATTTTAATGACAAATTCAATTTGTAAAGCTGTAGTCAAGGAAAAATATAATAAAAATATTATGAAATTAATTACAATTATACTGACAAGCAGGAAAAGTAATCACATTGTGCTAAAAAAATAGCAAAATATAATGTATAAAATTGATAAAGCCCATGATATATGTGAATGGACAGATAAACTACATAAATCTGATAAATACTAACTAAATCATCAAGAGAGAAACAAAAGTATCTGATATTCCATAACATAGACTAAATTCAATGTATAGAATGGATCTCATAATATTCCATGACTAACTCCTATTTATGAAGTAGAAAGATGCTTCGTTTCTGTAAGGCTCATTTGAAATGATGTGCATCACAAAATAGCACTACACAAATAAATTGAATCGCATTGAACTGATGGCAAAAGCATGTGTGCATGCGCAATATAAACCCCAGACAGGCTGCAGCAACAGAGTCCCATCTGCCAGCGGAAGGTTATTACATTACATTACACTGTACAGGACACTTCAGGTCACGTTCAGCTCCGTATAACTCAATTATATCACAGCAGAGAGACTCCCCGCTGTCAACAAACCCTCTGGCCAGCAAGCAAACTTCAACATCCATGACCACTGTAATTTTCGGCAGCGTATCTTGTCAGTGAGGTTGAGAATTACTGTCATTTTCCCCATGGGGCCTGTTACTGGAGATGACGGGATGCTTTTATCGCGAGCCTCTCGCGTTTAATGGAAAGGATAAACCGAGGGAGAAATGTTTCATGCAAAAAACAGACGTACCAGACGGTAGAGTTCGGTGACGCTGATGTCATCGGGATCCACCATGCTGAACTCTCTCCTGGGTACCAGATCCAAACCCAGCTGCCTGAGAAAGCACAGAAACGCATGATAGCATCAATGGACAGTGTTTGATATGCTGCACAAGACAAATGAATGGAGAATTTAAACAAATAAATGTATTTATTCATGTTTTAATGCTATATCAGCAACATTGGCTATATACATGGCAAAACAGATATTAAAATACAATATACATAACATGCAATCATATTGGTGTCTTAGTAAACAGTCACTGTACAAAAAAAAACAACAACATACAAACGTCAAGTTATATACAACCGTTTAATTTGATTACTGATTTCAGATCTTGTATGTGTAACCTGATCTTGCCTATTTTTAAAATAATTATTTCTTTCATTTACAAATGGATTCACTTCATATGATTTGTTGTGTCTACATTCGCCCCATCGCATTTGCCATTTCCCACTAATATACAGTTTCAAAGCAGGTTTAACATCAGACATCGGAATTTTACATTCTGCATGCTCTTTCCAATGAATCCCATACATAAACGCCAAGTAACTCTTATGTCAAGTGGATTTTGAGATAGAAGTCACAAATAGACACCAAGGGCCCATTTTATCCTAATAGAATTAACAGATTAAGAAATTATATCTTACGTAATGAAAATGAAGCTTAGAGCTATATGTCAAGCTATTTTGTTTATTTATTAATTAACGCCTTACAAGTAGCGATGGCTACATTAATGCCAAAATCAACAGTCTAAACACTACTTACAATATTTTTTTTCTTGAAAAACTGACATTTGAAATACATATCGGTGACGCAGTGGCGCAGTAGGTAGTGCTGTCGCCTCACAGCAAGAAAGTCGCTGGTTCGAGCCTCGGCTGGGTCAGAGTTTGCATGTTCTCCCTGCGTTCGCGTGGGTTTCCTCCGGGTGCTCCGGTTTCCCCCACAGTCCAAAGACATGCGGTACAGGTGAATTGGGTAGGCTAAATTGTTCGTAGTGTATGAATGTGAATGAGTGTGTCGGGATGTTTCCCAGAGATGGGTTGCGGCTGGAAGGGCATCCGTTGCATAAAAAAGTGCTGGAAAAGTTGGCGGTTTATTCCGCTGTGGTGACCCCGGATTAATAAAAGGACTAAGCTGAAAAAAAATGAATGAATGAATGAAATATCTACATATAAAAAGTGACATGTTTAAATGTACTTTGCATTAAATATATATATTGTGCATGCACAATTACAGACTGTTTTATATATAATATCCATTCTGAATAGAAACATTATCAATGTCAATTGTCATAAAATAATAGTTATTACAGTAAAATACACTGAAAAAAACTAATCAGACATGATTCCTTGGATTTACTAAATTTTTTCCGTTAAGTGGTTGTAAACTATTTATTTGTGTTGAATTTAAACAAATTAAGTTGAACATTATTAAATTTAATTTGTTTGTTTAAATTCAACATAAATGAATTGTTTGCAACAGTTCTGCATGCAAAACTTTTTTCAGTGTATGTTTCATATGTTTCATATGTATAACATTACTGCTTAAAATATAAACTGGTTTCCTCTTGCAAAAAAAACTAAGATGATTCATGAATATTCTTTCTTTCTTTCTTTCTTTCTTTCTTTCTTTCTTTCGCATTAATCTCATTATTAAATCTGATTACTTTAATAACTAAACATTTATTTAAAACAGCATAATGATTTCCTAGATCAGCGGTGCCCAAACTTTTTCTTATAAAGAGCAAAAAAACAAACTTGATTGAGGGCTGTGGGCTTTACTTAAATATACCAAACCGTATTACATAAAATTTAAAATGGGTAATTTATTTGCTAATATTTTAAAATAACTTTAAAACATATTAAATAATGATGCAGTATTATTGTTTATGTTTTATAATGAACTTATTAAAGTAAAAACATAAGCAAAGTCATTCATAACACAACGGAATATAATGCTGAATACACAAGTCGAGCTGCTCCTGCCTTTGCTAACCGATGTCTTGTGCATTGTCCTCTATCTGTCAACTATCAGTATTTACATTTAAAAAGGCCTATTCACTTACAACATTGAATTGAAACTATAATTTTTTGTAGTTCCTCATTTATACAAAGAAACTAAAGGTTACATTAAATCTGAAATGACAATCTCTGTCAAAGGCATTAACCCCAACAAACTCCCCATGATTCTCCCTCTCTCTTCAAATGGGGTGGTGGGCCAAACCAAGGGTTTCCATGGGCAACTCTGTCCTAGATCATTCAATGTACATTATCTAGGAGATATTCCTATTAAAAATTAATAAAGGAGAATAGATATCTATTTAAAATATTAATGGCAACAAGTAAAAAAGCTATAAGCTGGAAATGATATAAAGAAGACCCATCAACTAAAGATGAATGGCTCAAAATAAAAGCAGAAGTGGAGCAAATAGAATAACTGACACATGCACTTTGATTAAATAAAGAGATCTTTAAAAAGAAATGGAGTAAATGGTCTCTCTTCACAACAACAATATAATTACCCATAATTTATCATTGACATAATTCTATAGGTCATGCAATATCGCGGGAATATTTTTGGCAACCGTTTAATTTATGTCTATTCTATATATTTACTTTCTTAAGAAGGTTAATTTTAATAATGGATATGGAGTGGATGTATTTTTATGGATACACGTATGTACATATTTATATATATTTTTATTACTATTATTATTATTTTTTGTTTGTTTGCTTTGCTCCCACTGGTTATATCTTCCTATAAATCTATAAAAAGTGTATATATATATATATATATATATATATATATATACACACACAAAGCAAACAATAATAATAATAATAATATATATATATATATATATATATATATATATATATATATATATATATATATATATATATATATATATATATATATATATATATATATATTTGTATTATAATTAAAAATTTAAAACTACAGAAAGTACTTCAGGTAATGTGAAATGTGATGTCAATCTTAGGGAAATTAAGACTCGATTGTCACAAAAACACACTTTACAATAGCACGTTTTTAAAACAGGACTTCCATTTTCCCAAGTATCAAAATATAATCAGAACATGTTACTATCACATATTGATCACTACTCACTCGTTTCCCCAGTCCAGACGGGCCGTGATGTGCTGTTTGACGTCCCGCATGCGGTCATGAGTCAAGTGTCCAACCAGCACCTGCCGCCTGAGGTCCAAAATCTCATTCATCACGTGCCACAGTCTATTAAACAAATCCCCTTCGTTCTTCTAGAGAAGTAAACAACAGTGAAGCAAAAGTAAAATTAAGATGCAGACAGTCACACTTTAAGATTCCATTACTTAATTTTAGCTGATTTACTAATTTATTGTCATATCGCAGGATGTGCAATATTGAGTTGGGATTTATTATCTGATTGATGATTGCATAATAGATGGCTGTATTATTGTATAGAATGACATAAGACATCTCTACCACTGTTTTGTCATTACCATTAATAAATGTGTATATATAAATATATAATAAACTGGGATTATAGTTTAGCAGCAGCCATGGCTCAGAGCTTTTTAAATATAACCATAATGAAGTGGAAGTTCATCCTTTGTCTGTGTTTTTGAGGCCTGTGAATGTGTGAGCATTCAAGGATATGTTAAAGCAATCTGGTACAAGAAACTGTACCATTTGTAACTTTGATAAAACATTTTATTTTATTATTTATTTATACATTAAAGACGATTTGATTGATCAGTTTCAGTACCTGAACACTGTTTGACTGAAAACCCTAAAACATTGTTGCTTGTAATTTGTGTAGTACTTTTAGGCATGATTTATAATGTGGTCAAACTGTATTCACATCGTAATATAATGGCAGAGAAACAAAATATCTCAATGTCAAATTTGTCCAACATTGCGCAACCCTTCTTGTATCACTTTTATGCACGATTTACTCCCCATCACAATCATATTCAGGGTATATGCAGGAACACTAAAGAGAATTTCAATACCTTTGTAAGACTTTTTAAAGACCTTCTCAGAATATTTTAAGACCTCATCGCCACTTCAAGTTCTAATCAGTATCAAACCTTTAATTTAAATAACAGTTGTTTATAAAAGTTGTAGTGGTTTAAAAAAAAATATCAATGGAGCACAACTATGCAACAGAACTCAAATAAGCACGAAAGAAACAAAGCTTGAAAGAATTAATTGCGCGGTTGTTTTCAGCATCAGGCTTCAGCAACTGTTTAACCTCGTCTTTCTCCAACCAGGAGTACGCAAACTTGCATTGTCCCGTTTTGCCGTCTGATTCGCTCAATGGTTTCACCACATGTGAAGAGCGCCACATCACCTTCCTGCGTTTGTCACAAATTACAAGACCTGGACGGAGAAGCTTGGCGGACGCGCCCCGGCCCGAACCAATCACGTGGATCGAGCACGCCGTCGTTAATATAAGGAGGAAAATACATTTATTTATGCTTTTTTGGAGTCAAACACTTTGAACAATGGTTGAACAAAAATTAAGACTCAAGTTAAAATTAATTAAGACTTTTTAATAAATGTTAATACTTTGTAATACCCCGCAGACACCCTGATACTGAATTAATGAACTCTTTCCAAATAGATCTACTAAAGCCATCTGGTGAATCTGTATTCATCTCGCAATATAATAGCAGAAAAACTAAATATTGCAACGTCAGATTTTTCCAATATTGCACAGTCCTTATTTAACATCATCCATTAATCTTAGTTTAACATAATGCATTCATAAAATCTAAGGCACTTGTAAAAGTTATTTAATGCGCTGTAAATAATCATTTACGTTAAAGCAAAACTAAGAAATACTGTAATAAATATATCCCTCACTCACTATTTGTTTGTGTTAGCATCATTGTAAAACATAACTGAAGTTGTTATAGCATTGCTTCACCACTGAAATATAATGACCAGGTGTAAAAATAATCCAATAATAGTTTCCCCTGCAAGCAACAACAGCTCATGTACAAATAATATATTCCGCCCAGCAGCGTCTGTGCATCCAGGAATCACGAAACCAGCGTCTGGCTGTGGGCGGATTTGCCAAAACAGTATTTACCACAAAGAGCTGCTTCCACATGGCGCCCCAGTCCCTCAAGGTGGACGTCATCTCCGTAATGACAGAGTCTTCGCTCGGCACCACCGTCTCGAACTGCCTGCGGGTCGAATGTGGGCGACACACAGCGTGAAAAGATATGAGATACACCTCGTCTGGTTCTGCGCTTGGCTTTACTGTTTGCTAATCAAAGGAAAAAAAGCAGATGTGGCTTCCTTCTGTTTGCCCATCGTTACATTCAGTTCGAGTTTTAACAGCTATCAGTGGACCAACAAGACATCAAATCATCTCCATGTGCCAACAAAAAAATCATCTCCATAATGATGGGGAATGCAATAGGAAGCACATAAAAGTCTATATTTGAAAATGATGTAGGCGTTCAATGTGTAGGTGTGTTTATTCCTTCAGTAGAACATTAAATTGTGTGTTTTGGTGCTTCATTAAATGCAAGTTGGATGCTTTTTTATATATATAAATAAATAAATAAATAAATACACAGGCAAAGCAGAATTAGTCCCTGTGGCTCCTGACAGCACACTGAGATCTTATTAAAAGATTGTTTTGTGCACAAAACTGAACATTATTTATGACATTAACAGTAGAAGCTGTGGATTAAAGTTAAAAACAATGAAAATAAGTGTTTAGTTTCTTACACAGGCTGATTGATTAGGCTACAGAAGGCTTCAAAAGGTCAGCGGTGCCCAACCTCGGTCCTGGAGGTCCGGTATCCTGCATATTTTAGTTCTACCCTGCTGAAAAATCCAGCTTAAACCAGCCTAGGCTGGTTGGCTGGTTTTAGCTGGTTGACCAAGCTGGTTTTAGAGGGGTTTTGGCCATTTCCAGGCTGGTTTCCAGCCATTTCCAGCCTGGTCTTAGCTGGTCAGGCTGGAAAATGACCAGCCAAATCCAGCTAAAACCAGCTTGACCAGCCTGGTTTAAGCTGGATATAGCTGGTTTTGGCTGGACTCCCAGCTTGGCTAGGCTGGTCAAGCTGGTTTTAGCTGGTCATCTCCCAGTCTGACCAGCTAAGACCAGGCTGGAAATGGCTGGAAACCAGCCTGGAAGTGGCCAAAACCTCTCTAAAACCAGCCTGGTCGACCAGCTAAAACCAGCCAACCAGCCTAGGCTGGTTTAAGCTGGATTTTTCAGCAGGGCAACCACATTTAAACATACCTGAACCAGCTATTCAAGCTCTTTCTAGGTATACTAAGGCTGTTTCTCAATAGGGGTTGTTCAGCGGTCTTGCGTCCTCATGTAACATTATCATTATCCTTCAAAGTTCAGTTCCAAAATTCAAGACTGCAAGAACAGAGGATGTGTGAAAGTTCTGGGATGTGTTCCTGATATCAAGGATGCATCAATGCAGACTTGAGCTAAAAAAAATAAAAAATTGCTCGAGTAGGCCCAGAAGTCATTGCGACTGAATATAGGAGGTGGGAAGTACAGCATTTCTTATAGACTTATTATTAAGTAAAGAGATATAACTTCTTTGTCTCAGGAGTTTCCCTAAATGAAGCAGTGATGTAAACATTACCATGAAACTCTTAATAAAAGCATGAACACATTAAGGGTGTTCATTTGCTCAAATTCATATTTAAATTAGTTTTATTTATATTGTGCAATGTGTATTTGTAAGGTCTTTATGCATAGTATACAATGTGAAAAGGGGAAAAGCAATAAATCCTTACATGAATGCTGTAATGTTTAAATAACTTCCTGTAAACTAGGGAAGAACGCAGCATCTCATTTCTCACAGGACACATTCTGTGTTCTCACGGCCTCCCGAGTTCGTTCCTCCGAGGTAACTTGGCAAGAACGGTCTCCACAAGAACCAGAGTCTGTTCTCAGCGTTCTTGGAATTGAGAAACAGCCTAAAACTTCCAGGCAATTGTGTTGAGGGAAGGTGGAGCTAAACCATGCAGGACACCAGCCCTCCAGGAGCGAGATTGGACACCCCTGGTAAACGTCGTTTTAACTCTCAAAGTACTGTTGATTTGTACAATCAAATGCCTTTTGTTGCATGTTTAAAATGAGCTGAATCAACTTAATTTTAATTTTTTTTTTTTTTTAATTGTATTAAGTTCAATCGACTTAAATTTGTACACTTAATCAGTTTGCATTAAAACAACATGAAGAAAATGTGGAACAATTTAGCATTTTTACAGTGTATTTTAATGAATCACCAAGAGCCACAATTTCAGCTAAAAATGTTTAATGCACTACTGAAAAGTATCTTTATTTTTGGGATGAAATATCGCTTAAAAGTGGACGTAATGCAGAAACTATAGCAAACAGATGTGTATAATGTGCATGTTAGCTCTTTACACAGATAAGACACCTTTTATAAGATGCTTTAAAACTGCTTTTTGAGCTGCTTTGAAACTATAATTATCGTATTAAGCGCTATACAAATAAACTTGAACTGAATAACATTGAATATGGTAGTTACTAAAGAGCATATAACTGCGAAACTCCGGTTTAATGTTTCCATGAAGGTCAATTTAATATGTAATACCTAAAAACAACTAAACTCACCCCTTATTCTTGATATGAGCATTCTTCAGGTGAATGTAGCAGCATGGAAATATGCCCTAGAAAGACAGAAATCAAACATAAATGCATAAATAAATAAAAAATAATAATTCTACAGTTAATCAAGAATGTGGGAAAAATAAACAAACAAACAGACATAAATTGGCTTTGATCCGTGCATTTCTTCTCACTGCTGTTGCTGTGGTATTTCAGTGACTGAAAATAGCATCGGGCACAGACAGAAATGATAAAAGACAAAGAGACGCTTACTTACCTTGGCATTCGGGTTCTTGAGGACGAATCCTCTGTACCAACCTGTAAACACAAAACATTTCAGAGACTTTCATCTTTAAAGGCTTTCTTCAGCGAGCCATTTTTATAAAAGCCCTTTTCATGAGACATGATCTCAGTAATGTTGGAAACGCTCCTCCTAAAATGAGAACAAAAAGGACAAATGGATGTGCAAGGATTCACGAAAACAGCTCATTTTCAACATGTCGATATCACCAAACAAACTCTTTCAGGTGTCAGCTATTTGAGAGTCCAAAGGTGTGTTGTTCTTTTGCATATAGCCAAAGAACTGTCATCATTCTAAATGTATTACAAACTTATGAAAGTTTGTGCAAGAAGACAGGAATAAATGGCTCACTCAAGCGGTTTGGTATTCGAAATTGGTTATTTTGGTAGACCATAGGGATCCTGCAATACTCAATATAATATCGAAACATTAGCTAAAACCTTACACACATCTTTAAAACAAAACACATCTTGAGTTTTTTAGGACAACGTAATTGTTTTGTGTCCAATTCTCTTAAATATGTAAAGCATTTTTAACAGTGCAGAAGGTAATATCCAAATAAAAGCATTATAGATGCGGCTTATGACCAACCACTGCATTTCTGAATACCTCACTCATATATAAATCTCTCAAAATAACACTGATGAAACTTCAGCCCACTGCAAACCAACCCACAAACTGTGCTTTCTGGCAAACATCCGAGAATCACAGTTTGAATGTGTGAAAAACATGGGCAGCGTCAACCCATCATTACAGTAAACAGAGTAATAACAGCCGTCCGATATAGAAGCATGACCTCTCACTTGATGAACAGCAGCTCCAGCAAGCCATGATTACCAAGTGTCACATTTACAGCTAAATAGTCACGCTCTCCTCTCTAGGTGTTCTCCAAAAAGGGCTTTTCTTCGCTCAAGAAAAACAGGAAGAGCGTGCAAGCCGAGCACAAAAGAAGTGCGTCTTCAAAGGGTGGAAACAGGAAATGAAGGAGCCGAGTGCGGGTCACAAAAAAAGACTGGTTTCAAATCCTCCCGCTTGAAGAACGAGTGAGGTGGTACAGGTGTCTGTGTCAGCAGTTTATCATCAAGCCGAAAATACAGGCCATCGCAGATCAGAATGACTTTCCACACAAGTTCATGTAGACTTAAGGTTATATCAGAATTCAGCCTTGTAGACAAACTTTACAACTCTTTCAATTATGCGATCCCTTTAATTACAAGTTATGAATACGATTTCTGCACTGAGCCAAAAGTGGTTGATCATTAGTTGTTCCCTGTAGAATTGATTCAAGTATTAATTATTAAATTAGTCAAATATCAAAACAATAGCTAGTTTATAAAAGTATTATATGGTATTTATAATAGTTATATAGAGTTTATTGTTTCTAATATTGACCATATTAAGTTGCTGAACCTGCACACACTTCATAATTAATCTGGTTTTAAAAAGGAAGTCCTGCTGGTTAAGCTAGTCTAGAAGGCTGGTGGGAACTAAAACCCAATCATAATCCAAAACAGCATATGCCAGAGGCCAACTGTTGTCTTTTTAGTCCCATTTAGGGATGACAACTTAATTAAATGATCTAAAGTCAAGTAACTCCTGAAAAAACCACACACGAACTAAGATTAGTCAGATAATTAGCTTAAATGCCCTGTCTAAATTAACAGTTATTACAAGCATGATATTTGCATTTTCATACTGGTTGAGTTTGTGGACCATTTGCCAGCTTATAAGACTTACAGAGCAGCATTGTCCATTTAATCCAATGCAAGCTGGTTGAAACTGGTGTAAACACAAATATGGAGGTTTATAAGATTCAAGCAGGCAAATTTGGGACTTGTGGAGCTGTGCATCGATGCATTTGCTCTTCAGTGTTTGGACTTTCTGCAGTGCAAATTAAACCACACTGAACTGAACTCTGAAATCTGGACTGACACGGTTTCATTTGTAATTTACTAGAACTTCTATGTTAAGCTGCTTTGACACAATCTACATTGTAAAAGTGCTATAGAAATAATGATGAACTGAATCAGTGCTCGTGTATACCTTCACATTTCTCCAGGATCTGCACCGTATCACCAATCTCCAGAGGCAAGCCATGCTGAACCGTTCCTCGGAAACCGGCCAGCACTGAAACACACAAAAAAACAGCAATCGATAAGTAATAGCTCAGGGTTGACCTGGGTTCATATAACTGAAAGTAATAAAACCTTAAGTTTAACTTGATGTGTTCCCCAATATATTGGCCACCATATCGGTATGGGTTGATAAATTATATTTTTTATGTTAGTATTAGAAGTAAAATAATAAAATGAGGTCTCTGGCAATAAATGTGTTTATTTATAGATTTATTTGTTTATTTATTTATTATTTATTTAATAGATTTGTTAATTTATTGACTTGTTTATTTGGCAAGGACAGTGTATATTAATTAGCATTATCAAGCATAGTTAAGAAGCACTAAAATAGACATAGTTAAGTAGATCTTAATATAAAATGTATATAAAAATGTAATAAAAGTAATTTTAAGATTTGTATTTTATGATTTTTTTATCGGTTAACAGCTAACATATGTATTTATATATATAAAACATATATATATATATATATATACATATATAATATATATTATATATATATATATATATTATATATATATATATATATATATATATATATATATATATATATATACTTTTGTGCTAAACAGGTAACGCTATTGATGATAATACAGTCACTTACTGCATTCAGCAAAAGGCAAAGTAACTCCAACTCGCACTAAATACTCGGCTTATGCTAATTTTGTTAAATAAAATCTGCAAACAATGTAAAAGAAATATGACAACGAGATGCTGCGGTGTCAGAACTTGTATTATTGTCGGCTAGTGAAGGAGTCGTTCATAACGGAGATTCATTCACAAATGAATCGCTCCCTCCGTCAGTGTGAAAAGTGAAAGTAGGAGAGGAGGTGTGTTTCAGGACACAGGTTAGATCAAATTTAACAGGGAGGGTGGATATACATTTCAGAACACACAAAGTCAGGAATGCCAATGTGTTCACTGATCCATCAATGTAGAAAAGTGATGTAAAATTATAATTTTCGTACTTAAAAAAAAAAAAATTGCATAATAACATTTAGGAAAACTCCCGATCATAGATATATGTGTATATCTCTGGCTTTGGATGGCCACAGTCCTCCAATGTACCTTGGTCCCGCATTCATTTCAAAGGAGCGCGACCCTGTTCCAAAATGGCGGCTCTATTGACGCATTCCTTCCAATAGACAACAACAGGATAGGCGACATCTAATGTATATATCTATGCATAGCACCTACTAGCTGGCCTCTGTTACATACGCATAGGCCTAATATTATTATTGTTGTTTTACCAGTTGTTTGAGAATAACAATAATAACAACCTACTTATATTACTTTTATTTTACAACTATGGAGTCGTGAGGAAATTGTGATCTTAATTTTAAGCAAAAAATATTGTGATTCTCATTTTAGCCAGAATCATGCAGCTCTATTTTCAACTCATACTAGAGAAATAGCAAAAAACAAAGGTTACAGACAGCCTTGTTATTAGTATTGACAAAAATGTCTCATTTCTAAATCTTCAGAATAAACAAAAACATTCTCAATATAAACAAACAATGGATTTATTCAAGCAAACACAGAAGAGGCACTTCTACTCAGGCGCATTAGATAATCTGTGCACAGAAACTCATTTCTACAAACGGCCGTGACGCAAACCGGCACAATGCAAAGGCTGAATTCAAAGTGCGCACGAATCTAAAAGCCTGGTTTGCAGTGTTTTAGGGTCTAAAGTGCTTTCATATGCTCAAAGCCTAGCGTGACCTCCGCTTAAGCTCATAAGGGCAGGGTTGCCAGATTGGCTCTGAAGTTCATCGCTGTGGGAAGGTTTAATAAAACTGACGTGCCTCTCTTCTTTAAGCGCTCGATAGAGAGGCTCACCTGAGGAGACTGCCTTTGATGAGCATGTACACTAAAAGCCTTTGAAGTCAATGCTCCCTGAGCCGGGAAAAGGATAGGAATGGAGAAGAAATGAAGAATATGGAGACAAAAAAAAAAAACGATGAGAGACACGACAAAAGAAAAGAAGAAGTGACAGACTGGAAAAAAAAAAAGATTGCACTGAGAGAAACAGGACACGTCTTGTGCAATCGGCTCACACAAACAGCCAGCTCTCATATCTATTATAATGATGTCATCATTGCCCAGTCCATTTAGAGGGGATTATGGGATAGGTTTGTTAAAGCAGGTTACCTCACCTGGCTGAAACCGCAAAGCAAGACATGATTTCTGGAGTGGATTTCACAGATTTTATGGGGCACAGGCCAATCTGGGATACTCACGCAGAGACTCTGACCTAGTTGAGATGTTTTGTGTGCGTGTGTGATAAGAGTTTTAAAAGACGATAAAGGCCAGAGCACAAAGAAACGCTCATGAATTTAGAAACAAATGATTCTTTACAAACGATTCCTTCAAATGATTCTTCAAGCTTTTCATTAAAACTTCATACAAGTCGATTCTTTTTGTGATATCTGAAGCATGGATGTTACACTTTAACAAACCACATTAAAAATACTGCAGTAATTTAGAGTAAGTTCTAGTATTTTTTTTAAATTATAGTATAGTAAAATACCTTTATGCTATCTGTCACTCAACATCTATAGTTATGTAAATAAATGACATAACATTGTAGATTTGAAACTATATATTACTATAGTTACAGTTAAGTATGCACAATTGTGTAATGTTATCAGTAATAAAATGAATAGTTACACTTTAAAAACCCACATTAAAAATACAATAATTTATAGTAAATACTATAGTGTTTTCTAATCATAATATAGTAAAATACTGTACAAATATACTATACTAATACTATATTACTATGGTCACACAACAACTATAGTAATTTAAATAAATGACCCAATATTGTAGATTTTTAACAATAGTAACATGCAGGTTTTTTACCATAGTAATTACAGTTAATTATGCATAATTACATGCAACTAAACCAAACCCACATTCTAACCATATAGCTAGTATATACACAATCTTATTAGATGTAAAATGAATAGCTACACTTTAAAAACCCCACATCAAAAATACTACAGCAATTTATAATGGATACTGTAGTGTTTTCAAATCATAATATAGTAACATTCTGTACTAATACTATATTACTATGGTCACACAACAACTATAGTAATGTAATATAAATAAATGACCCAATATTGTAGATTTTTAACTATAGTAACATGCAGGATTTTTACTATAGTAATTACAGTTAATTATGCATTACATGCAACTAAACCAAACTCACATTCTAACCATATAGCTAGTATATGCATAATGTTATTAGATGCAAAATGAATAGTGACACCTTAAAAACCCACAATAAAATACTACAGTAATTTATAGTAAATACTAGTGTTGTCTAATCATAATATAGTAAAATACTTGACTAATATACTATACTAATACTATATTACTATGGTCACACAACAACTATAGTAATATAAATAAATTACCCCATATTGTAGATTTTTAACTATAGTGACATGCAGTTTCATGCAAAAAAACAGGTGTTTTTTAATGTTAATAACATGTTGGTGAAATAAAGTTAAATAAGTGCCATCTAATCAATTCATGAACAAGCGACTCCTATGAGTGGATTTATTTTTGGTGCTATCAAAAATTAAAGTGCCGGTTCAGCAAATTCCCCAAATAATGACTCTTATCAATGATTCGATTCCACTTGGTGAATCAAAAACCTACAGAGGGACCATTGATTGCTAAAAGTTCCCAAAATAATCAATTCTTTAGTAAACCACATGCATAAAGTGCAGCCAGAGCGTTCAACTGATTCTGTTCAACAGTTTATTCAAAGCGATTCCAAAGCAAATGACTCTTTTGAATCAAAAAGTTAACTAAGCAACAAGTGTATTCCAGTGTGGCTGTCTCTTTTTGTTAAATACTTCTTGGTGAAATCAAAAACAAAGTGCAATCAGAACAATCCAGCCTATTCCCAAATGAATGACTCATATGAGTCAATTCTATTTAATGAATCAAAATCACACAGTGCAACTAAAGTACGTCAACAGTTCCCAAATGAATCACTTCGATGAATCAGTTCTGTTTAGTGAACAATTCCAAATGATTCCAAAAATAACGACTCCTATCTGTTGATTCTTTTCTTGCATGCACTGAAAAAATTATTCATTGGATCTACTATTTTCAAGGAAGGTGATTGCAAACAGTTTATATGGGCTTAATTTAAACAAATTAAATATACTAATGTTAACTTAATTTGTTTGTTTAAATCTAGCCCATATAAATAGTTTGCAACCACTTACCCTAAAAACAAACGAGTAAATCCAATGAATCATTTTATTCAGTGTGCATGCAACAGAACTAAAACAATTTCCCACCTTAAAAACTCCTTCAGTCTAGTGCATGTCATCTGATCACAATCCAAAAGCCCAAAACATTCCTGCTGACCAAGAAAAGCCTCACAATCACACGTTCGGAGTTTCATTGGCAGCTGCATCCTATCTGTGTGATTTGACTTTACAATTTGGAAGCCAAAATAACAAAGTAGGTCCAATGAATTAATTATACAGGTTTTCGGCAGCAGTGCTTTAAATTATTCAGCTTGGATGTGCAGTCCTTGACAAAGCTCAAATCCTTCTCCGGTAACCGTACGGCAGCTGTTAACTGAGCTGGAGCTTCGCCAGAGAGGCTCAAACGCGTGCAGTGACCGAAAAATACTTTGTGCTTTTAATTACCTGAAGAAAAACAAAGAGAAACGGAGAGAGAGAGGAAGAAAAGAGGCAGAGGTTATTCTAAAAAGGTCAAATACCAATAGATAAACTCAAAAGCACACTGTACTCTGGAGGTTAAAGGAACGGTGAACCCAAAAATGAAAAATATGTACCCATTTATTCAACATCATATATGTTTAAGTTTAATTCCTCTTGCTGAAAACAGAAGATATTCGGAACAATGTCAGAAAATGCGCCATGATATCCAAAGTATGGAAAAGAGTCAATAGCTAACAGTTTCCAGCGTTCTTCAGTATATGTTATATCTGTGTTT